TTTGCTGTCGGAAATTACACATATGTCTTTAAAGATGGAGTTAGCGATGAGGGGCTCGAATCACTACTTGCGTAAATCACAGCAATAGGTGTTTAAACATACAAAAGTACTTCGAAAGCATGGAAACAAATATTCAGTCGAACAAGATCAAAACATCGTCTTCTTTCCGAATAAAAATTCAGCAAAAACAAATATGTTTACGTTGATTCTATGTTATGTCAGAATAGATCCAGCAATAGACTGCTACATAATTTCCGTGTTAAATTTATTATCAGCTTTCGTCAACGATATCGCCACTGATCTTGATCCGGTAACGGAGGATGCATTAACATCGAACGCCGAAGAAATTTTAATGCCTTCTGTCCACATAAATAAACAGTTGGGTTATCAATTCAAACAAAATGATATTTTGAAATTTGTACTGTTTCAAATTTAGCGGTAGTAAAACACAATTACAGAATCTGCAAACCGTTCTGTTTAGCCCAACATATTTTTTTTCTAAAAGTATAATATCGTTGAAAAAGTTATTTAGCTTAGTCATGATCCCTCTTATCCATTACACTGCTTGATCTAAAGTAGTCCATTAAAGTATAATTAATTACCTTATCGTGTTTATGCCAGAGGTATACCCTCATGTCCTGATCCATCCTTTCGGAAATATCACCACAAATCTGGCTCTTTGTCAACAGATTCGCGAACATGCCAGCGAATCCGATTCAATTTGAATTCACTACACTTTGAAGCCACTTGGTCACAAAACACTTTCCAAAATGTAGAAAATAATATCCGTAGAATCGAATTTGAGCACAAAGTACACACATGAGTGTGTAAGAGTCACCACAGCTGTCGCACGCAGACGTAGTAGGTGCGTGGAATCGTCAAGTTGACAGGGCGCAAAATTCAACAGTATCTAAATTCGGTACAACACGGACTTCTCGTTACAGCAAAAGCGCCTCTACTCTTAAATTTTGTACCAGTACCAGTAATTAGATATCAAAGATTATTACCCATACGGGTGAGGAGATCCCGTGTAATATCTTTTTGATATTTGCACAATGTGCAATTTAGTGATTCTCGACGTTGATTGGTTGATCGTATATTTGTACATTTTCATTGGATGCCGGAACTACTTTCACACACTACGTTCATTCATAAAGTTTCATCGATTCATTGATAAATTGACATTATGTATGTAATGTAATCACACATTCCGAGATCTAAAAACAACAACATTAAGGTTAAAGAATATGAATATTCTTTTTATTAGACGTTATTATTTTGGAATAAAACTTAGTTATAAATAGTAGTCTTTTTAAATTATATAATCTTTAAAAACCCACCAAAACAATCGTTTGCATTGTTTGTAAACAAACATGGCCGCCGTTAGGCTAACCCCGATCAAGGTCACTTACCTAGTTAAAGTTGACGGTGACCAAATAGGACGAGTGATAAGAATTTTGCAGCCCTTGAATTCCCAAAACCTGTTTGTTTTTGAAACTGAATTCGGGGAAATAGAAACAGCAAGATACCGACTAAAGATGTTATCTGAAAGTGTAACAAGTAAGTCGGAAACGGCGTCCATGCCATCGAACCAGAAAACAGCTCCTTTCTTACCGGAATCAGTGCTAAATGTTCTTCTTCAAGATGAATTTTTATATCCATGCATTCCTAATCAATCCGAGAGGTTGGTCGCAGTAGCCGATACAGAGATTGACACATTTCATAGACTCGGATTCCGACTAGAGTTATCCTTCTTGGAACTGCTGTACTCTACTAAGACGAGAGTGTAACACGCCTTCCACAGAACAAAATGTTTAATCTTCAAACTTGTTGAGTTTCTTGACAGAAAACTTTTTCTAGATGTATTCGTGGGATGGTTGTCTTTTAGATTTCCCAACTTTTAACCGTTGACTTTCCCAAAAAATGACAGGTTTTTGCCAGAGTGTGTTTCAACGCTACACCGTCACTAGAAAACACGTCAGTCGTGAATGAACGATGTTCCGTCGCACTGACTTGATCGAATAAATGTTTAGCTCTTATTAAGTTCAATGATATATTTAAAAGATCATTTTTATCATATTAACAAATGTTAATTAATTATTCCAGGCATAATAATTTTGTTGTATTTTAAAGCGATTTTATGATGTACTATTTCCATAGCGTAGTTATGTTATTACCGCTGGAGAAGTTAGGTTTAATACGCGCATGAATACGAATCAGCTGTTTAAAGGGGAAGTGTACACGAATAAATCACATTTATTCTTCCGTGAATCAAAGTGAACTGTTTTAATGAGTTAATACCAATGTTTGAAAATATACACTCATTTTTCTTACAATGTAAGTATAACTCTCAAAATACATGCTGAAATGTTATGCCAATATGAAGCCTTTGTTTGCCGAGCTAAACAGGCCAGAGTTACCGCCCTTTGATTATGACGTAATTGGTGCCACTTGATTTTAAACTGGTCTACTGTCTAGTCCCAAATCAAAAGATAATAATACTGAAATTAATCACGTGAAAAAAGTTTGTGAAAATTCGAAAGAAGTATAAGAACAGAAAATGTAAGCAGCAGGACAGATTGATCGTGTGTGTTTTCATTCATAACCTCGCCAAGGCTCGGCACTGTGAACATTATTTCAACTCGGGCATATTTCCCGTAATCTCTAACTATCTCAGTCATACAATCAGGTTAACCTTGCGCAAACTGTCAGAGGCACTCTCCTACCCAGAGTTCCATTCGGCCGGCCAGCCAGCATAGTACCTCTGCCACAGGCCAGAAAAATGTGACGATTCGTCACATCTGACACAGTCCATTTAATGAAATGTAGATATTTCTGAAACTCTTTTATTTTTGTCGAGTCTACACATCTAATTAAACATCTTTGATAGAGAGGTGTAGTTTCACTGAGAAAATATCCTAAAACATGTAACACTATTTCGATTTGCGTAGCGATCATTTGTTTACATAGGTTGTACGGCTTCACGTGCTGTCATCGAAGCCAACAGAGAGCAAACGATGCAACCAGATTGATATCTAAATATGTACTGTCATAAACCCGAAAAGCTTGCCTAAGACCAGTCTCTTCTTATTATGAATATTTATTGTTTACAAACAAGAGAAAAGTCCGGTCACGTGATATGCAAATTAGCCTGTGGCAGTGATGTTATGCTAAGTCATCACTGCGCCGGAGCGTGTGTCAGAGGCTCTCCTGTCGCATCCTTCCAAATTTGCACGTGAATGTAAACAATGACTTCCGAGAAAAGGTCAAGGCCATGAGGTTGCTGCCATTATTCTGGTGGGGAAAGGTCTTCGGTGGAATTTTCAAATGTGAACCAAGCTTTTTAAACTTATTTGGTATATGTTTTCCAACTGATCAGTTAATGATTGGTGATTGATGCATTTAAAAAACAAAACGTGATTTGTTAGTACTGAATCTGGAGTTTGTTAGTCATTGACGGTTTGCCACCAATCACCCCGTTTCGGGCGATGCCACTTGAGATTGGAATGCGAGGCCGCTTCACGTATTGACTCGTAACCAAAGAAAGAGCTCCACCTGAAATTGTTCATAAAATTGTCATGGTAGAATGGAGATAAACCTACTGTGTTGGACAATCAGAGGTATATAACGAAATTATAATAGCTCTAAATTGTTCATTTCAAACCTCTGGCTACGCGTTCGGTTTTAAATGAAATTTAGAGCTACATGTATTATAATTTCGTTATATACCTCTGATTTTCCCACACAGTAGGTTTATCTCTTAATTAAATACATCAACAGAAGTGTAAATAATGATGCTTCTGGAATCGAAGATGTTGATACAAATACTGTAGATGCTCATATTGACATAGCTGATGAAGATGATAATATTGTAGATGTTGATAAACATGTCGTAGATAATGTCGATGTTGACATTTATGATACTAACGCTGATGATTATGGTGGTGATGGTGGTGGTGGTGGTGGTGGTGGTGATGATGATGATGATGATGATGATGATGATGATGATGATGATGACTGCATTTTAAACTATTCCGCTCTTAAGTTTTTAAGTGTTAATGTATGTGGACTAAGAAAAAGATTAGAGTATTCGGAATTTGTTAACCTTATAGAAAGTAAACATATTATTGGACTGCAAGAAACTAAAACAAATGAATTAGATGACATACATCTTGATGGGTATACACTATCGCTCAGGAATAGAGTAAAAACTAACAGAAAATCAGGAGGAATTGGAATAGCTGTTAAGAACGAGTACAAAGATTTTATTACATTAGTAGAGAAGGATAATGATTATGTAATGTGGATAAAAATGTCAAAAACTTTATTTGATATTGAGTAAGATCACTATTTAGGAATAGTGTATATCCCCCCCGACGGATCCAGATAGGTTACGAATGACACTTTCCTCGACCTAGAACATTCAATTATGCATAAGCTTACGAAAAGTGAATATGTTACTCTAATGGGTGACTTCAACTCTAGAACAAATACCTTATGTGATTATTCTGTATACGATGACTTTCTTACTGAAGATTTGATTTAGATGAAACTGGAGATATATGCCCTGAGAAATATTTACATGATTTAAACCTTCCTCTAGAAAGATCATCTCAAGATGTCGGTAAAGTAAACAATTTTGGTTATGCACTTATAGATATTTGTAAGAATTTGAATTTATTCATTGTAAATGAAAGGGTGGGAAATGATAAACATATTGGGAAGTTAACTTGTAATGACAAAAGTTTAATCGATTATGTTCTTACTTCCCCCAAAAGTTTAAAACTTTTTACCGATTTTGATGTTTTAGACTTTTCTCCCCTCTCGTCAGATGTTCACTGCCCATTATCGTTTACACTGAAAAGCAAGTCTATTCCCTATGTAGTAAAGGAACCTAAACTTATTCATCATGTAGATAATAGTAAAACGGCTAAACCTAAACGTCGATAAAAAAGCAACTTTTCGCCAAAAGTTGACATGAATAAAGTAAATAAACTTACAAATCTTGTCCGTACAGCGGTATCCAACCATGAAGATTTATCGATTATCAACACGCTCTCCGATCGCTTCGCGCACGTGCTTGTTAATGCTGCACGTGAAACATTTGGGACACGGCAACATATGAAATACACACCCCGCTATCGTAAGAACAAGCCGTGGTTCAATACAAAATGTAGAAAGTTCAGAAAAAGATTCCATAAAGCAAAACGAAAAGTTAAGGAAAATAAATCACAGTCTAATCTTCAAAACCTACGCACCGAATCGAGAGCTTACAAGAAATGCCTAGATGAACATATTAGAAAACATAGGATATCTCTTGAAAATATTTTTAGAGAAAAAATGAAAAAGTCACCGAAAGAATACTGGGAATGTCTCAAAGATAGAAACCCGAAAGATAACATCGCGATGCCTGATACCAAAACATTTTTTTAATACTATAGAGATCTAAATGCAGAAAATTACAGCGAACATGTATTGAATTTCAAAGAAAGTAACCATCCCGATTTGGAATATGACTGTAGTATTCTTAATAAAGACATTAGCATTGAAGAAATTATGTCTACCGCCAAAACACTCAAACGAAATTAAAGAAGCGGGCTTGGACAATATTGAAAATGATTACATAATCGATACTATTGACATCTTTGCCCCCTTCTATGTTCAATTTTTCAACCTCGTTTTTACAACAGGTAAAATTCCCGATTCTTGGCTGATTGGAGTTATAAAACCGATATACAAAAACAAGGGTGAGCAACTTGACCCAAGTTCATACAGACCTATAACTGTTTTAAGCTGTGTTGGACAATTCTTTACCTCTATACTAAACTCGCGTTTAACATCTTTCCTTGAACAAAACAATATCATTACTCCCGCTCAAGCAGGTTTTAGAAAACATTTTACAACATCCGATAACATATTTATTTTGCGGACAATTAATAGCATACTGACATCACAAAGGCAAAAGCTCTACAGTGCCTTCATCGACTTCACAAAAGCATTTGATACTGTCTGTCGAATCGGTCTATGGACGAAGATGCAAAAGTCCGGTATACATGGAAGATTTCTTGAGCTCGTAAAAAGTATGTATCGTAACATTAAGTCAACAGTAAGTACACAAAACAGTACATCCGATTATTTCCCATGTCAAAAAGGGGTACGGCAAGGAGAGAACTTATCGCCACTTTTATTTTCAATTTTTTTAATGATTTAGAGAATAATCTGTATGAAAATGGTTGCGAAGGAGTTAACTTGGAATTATCTAATGAAAATGAAATACAAATCTGGCTGCAAATTTTATTGTTACTTTACGCTGATGACACTGTTTTATTTGCCCTTACTCCTAAAGCCCTACAAAAGTCTCTTGATTCCTTCTATGAATATTGCACTAATTGGCAACTCAATGTAAATGTATCAAAAACAAAAATTTTAGTATTCGGTTCAGGCCCAGCGGCTAAATCAAAAATGATATTTAAATTTGGGGAGAAAAATCTTAGTTTAGTGGACAGTTATGTATATCTTGGTATAAAACTACACAGAAACAAAAGAATGGTAACTAGCATAAAACTATAACCGAAAACGCTACAAAGGCTATGTATAGCCTGCTGAAAAAAGCAAGAAATTTGAATTTACCCTTAGATTGTTTATTATCGGCATTTGATGTGATGATAACACCTATTTTAACCTATGGATCAGAATTGTGGGGATTTGAAAAACTTGACCTAATAGAGAATATACATCTAAAATTTCTGAAACTTGCATCTGGACTAAGGAAATCTACGCCGAATTTTATGGTTTACGGCGAACTTGGCAGAACTCCAATATCTATAAAAACAGCGTATACCAACGTATGTATATCCTTTTATCCCATGCACAAACTAACATATACTGATACACTTAAACTATCCTTTATCATTTATGTTTATATAATTACAGTTTAAATAAATACAATAAAAAGCATTTAAGTCGGATCCTTGGATTCACTTTATCAAGGATTTTACTAGATAGAATTGGATTATCATATGTATTTGTAAATCCTCGGTATATACCACGTCTTCTCTAGTTTTGAAAGCTGGACAAGTTTTAACAGACCAGTTTATTCAACACTGGAGGGAAAGTATCAAATCTAGCCCGAAAGGAATGTATTATCAACATTACAATCAATTACTTGCTTTTGAAAACTACCTACTTTTACCGAAATATGTTTCTGTTCCTATTTTAAAATTTAGAACCTTAAATGTAAACCTGCCAATTGAGACTGGAAGATGGCAAAGTATACCGAGGGATGAAAGATATTGTACACTTTGTAATTTAAGTGTAATCGGTGATGAATTACACTAATTCTTAAATGTCGAGCACTTAATTCATATCGTGAACAATATATACCCACCACAAAATATCTTAACAATACATCTAAATTAGTCCTTGTTCTTTCGCCGACTACTACTAGATATAAAAATTTTTTGTCAAATTTTATCATACAGTTGCAAAAAATGCTAACCAATCTTTAATAAGCGTTTGTGTTTATCCACCTATTAATATATGCACTTATTTATATATAGGGAACTGTACATATGTATAAGGAATTATTTATTGTATTCAGTTGTCTATCTAAGACGCATGCATATGAATTGTACATAAATTGTTGTTAAAATATGCTCTTGTACCACCGAAGGTGGTTTTTTGAGTAATAAAATTGTCGACACAATATTTGTGATGGAACATTCTACTCTTGCCCCAAGCTGTTTGATCAAGGTTACACCATTCACGCTGAGGTCAATGGACACGTTTCCTTTAGTGTACGGATTACTAATGAACAGACAGACAGACAGACAGCTTTTTATTCAGTAATATTGGCCTACTGGCCCATGTTGCAATTGTTATTACAACATTTTTGTTGTCATGTGATAAGCAATAGAAAACATAAATTCAAACAATATTTCAAACTCTCAAAATACAGACTTTAGCAAAATGAATATTGCTTTAACGATATATCAATTGTTTGAATTCAATAAATTTATCATTTGTGGTTTACATACATATTTGTCATTGAGTAATGGTAAATATTTTGTTCTCAAATCATTGAATTCTGGACATTGGAGTAAGATATGACATTCATACTGAACTTGTCTTCCGTTACAGTGGTTACATAAAGTGTGCTGTGTTTCAGCAGAGACCATATATTATATGGTCTCTGGTTTCAGCGTCCTTGTTTCGTCTGGTTACATTCACATACAGATGATGTAGAGAAGGAGGGATTAGTGACCGCCTACAGAGAAGAGAAGAGAAGACCGCCTGCAGAGGAGAGACTGCAGAGAAGCAGGTGGTGAGAAGAGCTTGACCAAGGTGGATGACGTATGGCTTGATGTCATTGCTGATGCGCCCGCAGATCCCAAACGCACAGCCTTCCTGGACTATGTAACATCCAACTGGGTGGAAGGAGCATCATTCAATACAGCTGTGTGGAATCACTATGGAAATACTGGCAGTCGTACAAACAATCATCTCGAGGGGTGGCAGAACAAGATCAACTGTGCAGGAAGTGCCACCCCAACATCTAGGAGATCGTCTCCTTGTTTCAACGTGAGCAGTCTCAAACAGAAGTATATCCATCCTCAGATTGTCAGCTCACTGGACTTCCCCAACCAGAAAGAACTATAAGAATATGGATTGACGCATCAGATCTCTGAAAAACCAGCTTATCGACGAGGAACTCTCGATGAACGTACGTACGTATTACGACGCATCAGGCATACGCATACATACACACGCACGCTACATACATACATACATACATACATACATACATACATACATACGACGAGGAACTACTCATACATACATACATACATACACACCGTACATACATACATACACACCGTACATACATACATAGAAACATTTATATAGCGCTAAAATCTAAAGCGCTGTGAGTCCAACATCTATACAGTGGGGTTCAGTAGGCTTGGGTAAACAGATGTGTTTTAGTCTGGTTTTGAAGAGTAAGAGTTCTTGTGTAGCCCGTATGTTGAATGGGAGTTTGTTCCATAAGAATGGTGCTGCGGATGCAAAAGACCGTTCGCCGTAGGACTTGGTCCTGGAGCTTGCTACCACAAGGAGATGGCTGTCAGCTGACCGCAGACTGCGCCGAGGTTGGTATGCCTGGATAAGACTTGATATGTAGTCAGTAGCAAGATTGTGGAGAGATTTGAAAGTGAGGAGCAGAATCTTGTAGATGGTTCGGTAGCGAACAGGTAGCCAATGAAGTCTCTTCAAGACAGGGGTGATGTGCTCGAACTTGCGAGTGAGACTGACCACACCAGCCGCTGCATTCTGGACCTGCTGTAGTTTCTTGACAAGATGAGCTGGGACACCAGAGGAGTGAGTTGCAGTAAACTAGGCGATGTGTGATGTAGACCACAGGGGCTTGTAACGCTAAAAACTGCCATCAAAGTATGTACTGTCACTAACGGGGTCTTATCACTATATAAAAGGACCACTTTGATGGCAGTTTTAGCGTTACATAAAAGCCCCCTGTGATGTAGGCCTCAACTAATGCTGCTGCTGTTATTTCATCTAGATATCTTCGGATCTTTCCAATATTCCTGATATGGTAATAGGACCGCCTGCACATTGCTTTGACATGGGGCTCAAGGGTCATGGGGGATTCCAAAGATCACTCCAAGATTACGTGCTCCCTTCCGTGGCCGGGCTGACAACTAGGGCTGGGACGGGTAGGAAAAAATGGAATCGAGTACCCGCATGTACTTACCCGAATCGGAATCGAGTACCCGTAAATGTAAGGAATAAAGCGCTTCTGTCAACTTCCTGAATATCCAATCACGAGTTGACAGAAATTTTTATAGAAAAACTTGAAATGATGTCAATAAGACATTGAAACTGAACATGGGCTATTTATTTTACTTCTGTTTAACCAGGGAGACTATATTTGTTGTAGATTATCCCTGGTTTAACCAATGTAGAGAGTAACACCATTGCCACTGTTACTGTTACTTGACTCCTCACTGCTCATGCTCAGATATATTACAGTCGTTAATAATAACCTCCATTAATCGGACAATGCCAATGATGCAAATGGGTGTTACGTCAATAATGAAAAAGACAAGTTACTGTCTGCCCTTGCCATAAAAATACAGAGTTCTCTCCTTTTCTCAGTCTTGTCCTCAGTCTCCTCACTCTTTGAGGAAATGATAATTCATCCAGCTTTTGATATGTTCAATGCACCTCTGAGCAGAACAGAAGGCGTCCTCATCAGGTACTAAAGTTAGACATATTTACTTCAGTGGATTTATAAATTACAGCAATGGTAGAACGGAGTTGATAAAGTTTATGGCTTCAAATAAATGAAATGCCTGTTTAGAAAATTGACATTACATTATTACATGAAGTTATTAAATATCAAGGTACAGTCGGACCCAAATCAGATCAGTCCAAACTATCAGAAATCCGAAAATGCTCGCACACTCTAGATACTTAAAAGACTCAGACTAGAACCATCAGATATATTCTAAATAACGACATCCACCGTTCTTTTCATCTGCTTGTTGAGTTTGAAGAAATTAATTAACACGCCCACGCCTATGAATATATGCGTGTAAACGTTGTCTCAAAGTTTATGTCCGCCGTCCTTACAGACAGTAGCCCAGTCTCATGTCACTCTCAGCTGTGTCTCACAGTAGCTAATGAGACCAAGGTTGCTGCTAGTGTGGGACTGTCGGATTGAAGCCATAGATCAGCGCCATTTTAAAGTGGTGTTAAACCCAACTCACTCACTCTCTGAAAACTTCTTACCTTTGTGTACAAACGACAAGAAGAACGTTTTCGATGTATGACAACAGACACCTGCTAAATATAGACATTTTGAAATGTAAGATATTGTCAGACATCTTTAGAATGATATTGATAACAAATACGCGCTTGTTTGTCTCATAATTTTGTTGAGTGTCTTCGAAATGCATCCATCACTCAAGAGTACTCTCCCTTGCAGCAAGATGTCTGCGCCCTTGAGCAAGAGTCGTGCTCTGGCATGTCGATTCTTTTCATTCCATACTATGTTAAAGAACAATGGTAGGGCATAGATCTATTTCATTGCATGCATTGAAAAGCACAATTACTGTCTGAATGGAACATTGAGCCAAACTAGCTCATTTGTGTTGACTTGAATTTGTGTTAATGTTAGATCTCCGGTTTTCGTCCACGTTCAATGTGTGACGGTGTGGACTTTGCTGCCGGGATACGTTGGTGTAAGGTTCGAATTCAGGGTTTTCAACTACAATGAACAATGGTGCACACGGGACAGGGCGTTGGGATAGCATGATGATGATATCAATACCCCACTAGCGTCAATGTGTATATCCTATTACTGGTGTCATAGGCGGATCCAGAAAGGGGGTGCAGGGGTGCGCACCCTCCCTTTTGTGCTGAAAGTTTGTTAAATGACCATTGAAACTCGGGTAGAAATGAAGTGTGCACCCCTCCCTTTCTCAATAGTGTGCATCCCCCACCCACCCCCCTTTCTCAAAAAGCTGTATCCGCCCCTGGGTGTCCCCACCATGAAAGCAGCGTAAATCCTTCCCCATTCAATCTCTAAGGGTCTGGCTTTTACCTGTATGGTATTACTCGCCCATCCTTTTGGAGCTAGCACAAATGAACGTAACAAGCCTCTGGGCTACTGTATGTAAGAACAGCAGGGTATGATTGGCCCCACGATGGCTGTTAAAACTAAAAGGATCCGATATAGATTAGATTCTATTTCTGTATTTCTGAATATCAGTAGATCTATAATAGTGTGAAAAAACATGTGATGTAATTTTTTTTTACATCAGACCTTGTTTTTCACTGCATTGTGTTGGTATCAGCTATCTTGTATCAGATGCAGAGTGAGTAAAATAAAGCATTATATTCAGACTTTATAAACAGTTGTGTGTTCTTCAGTAAATAGCGAATGCTTAATAATTTCTTTCTTATTTCATATATCCTCTAAACAAAAATGACCCTTATTTATCAGGCATCTGACTAGTTTGGGTATTATATACACTTGCCATCCATCCTTCTTTGAATAATCCTACATCATGCAAGATAAAATGTTACATAAAATGGTGGGTCAGCAAATTATCATGCAATCTTTAGACCATGCTCTTCTCCATCCTGAAAAACCAGTGAATATTGGGTTAGAATTGGCCTTCAGCAACCCATGCTTGCTGTAACTAATGCCATTGGGTGGTCAGGCTCTCTGTTGATCACTGGATTGTCTGGTTCAGATTTGATCATTTACAGACCACTGCTATATAGCTGGAATATTGCTAAATGAGTTGGGAAGTGACAAACAAAAATACCAACCAAAATCATCCTAAAATGATAGGGCAGGGCAGGTTTTCCTGGGTATGTGAGTACTGGTTGTGTTCATTTTTATGAAGTCTATGGGAAGCTTCAGTGAGAGTTGATCACAGTTACTTTATCTGAAGAGGCTATTACATGGACAGAGGTACAGACAGGCTGCGTATCTGCGTAAATTACGCAATATTTATGTGAACGTTCAATTCCTATTAAGTCTATTGCGTACAAGTACGCTTGCTTTTTTGTAAATACTCAATAAATGTGATCTTACATGTGTACACACAAAAATGTCAAATCTTAGCTGGTGTACCAGTGGATAGATAAAATAGTGAGTGAGTGAGTTAATATTTAACGTCACATCGGCAATGTTTCAGCCATATCGTGACGAAAACAATTTAATTTATATCAACATTAAAATCAATAAAGTTAGAATATAAAATATCTGTCATCGAAGGACAGTAAAACTACTAGAGTATCACAGCTCTTAATTTAAAAGTAGCACGCTATCATAAACAGATATCACTATAAACAACAATACAATATAAACACGGGCTGGAGATCACAGCAACAGGATAGATAAAATAACTGAGGTATATTGAGAGGGTCAGGACATTTCAGGACATGAACTTGGCAACTTGCAGTCTTTCTTATCGTTTCTCACACTACAGGTCAAATATAAAGAACAAACACTAACATTTAAACTTTATTATATTTTTACAATCAATGGAAAATGGCAAAATACCCAAATGAGTTTGAGTGAGGTGGGTACAGTGTAAGTGGCTACTCAAAGGAAAATTAGGATACCCAACTGAGATGAACACAAGCGAGTACATAACTCAATGACCCAAAAAAGTTATTTGTAGCTCTGCATGGATCATGGTAAGGCTTGGTGACTGATGGCCTCAAACTAGCCCCATGTGCAAAAATAATCTTGACATTTTGGCCGACAATTTTACACATAAATGGTTTAGAAACAGGCGGTATTTTCACAATGTTTAGTTATTTGTGATCTAACATGGAGCTGTGTCTTTGTGACCAGTGGATATTGGTTAGTGAATGGGGTGTAGTACATATCTCAAATGTTTTAGTTAGGGTGGTGTAAGATCACATGATGTGACTCCTTTATTTGTTTGGATAGGAAGAGTCACAGTGTCCTGCCCAGTTGCCATGAAAGCAAGGGGACATATTACCTCTCAGAAAGGTTATTCAAGTGGTACGTCTCCAACATTACAGAAAGGTATGTGTCAATAACCCTCATGACAACAGTTTGGATGAAGGTAGTAACAACATCAACAAACATATTACCAGTGTATGAAATAAGGCCTGTCTGACCACCCGAGACGGGCTAGATTTCTGACGGACGGTCTAAATTTACAGCTAGCCAGCCCAATGGTCTGGTAAATTATTTAGTAAATTTGAGTAAATTCACCATATCTTGGTGTTTGGTCTGGTTAAATCCATTTTGGGCTGGTAACAATTTAAAGTTACCAGCCCTGATGTCTGGCTGGGTTTTTGGCTTATTTCATACACTGATATTACACACATGTCTGTAACCTGTGAAGATCTGGATTAGAATTTATCTTCAGTAACCCATACTTGTCGTAAGAGGTGACTAACGGGATCGGGTGGTCAGGCTGGCTGACTTGGTTGACACTTGTCATTGTATCCTAATTTCGTAGATTGATGCTCATGATGTTGATCACTGGATTGTTTGGTCCAGACTCTATTGTTTACAGACTGCTGCCATATAGCTGGAATATTGCTGAGTGCAGCGCAAAACTAAACTCACTCACTCACTCACTCACGTCTGTTCTGAAACAACAGACTGTAAGATCCTTGGTCTGAAATGTATCAAGGAGTTAATGTTCATAGTCCTTCCTTTGAACTACAATTTACACACACTTGTCAGCTAACAATAACACCAAGCTCAGGGAAAAAGAAAGTAAACACCAGATTATTGGATTTGACTGAAAAATTACAGGGTTGAAAAGTACCAATGCCCGACGCCTGGGTTGAGTGGAAATTCACCGGTTGGTCAAGTAAATATCCACATTAAACTTTACCGTGGTACAGTAGTGCCAAACTACTGAAATGTTTTGATATATGTATTTTGATGATGAAATAAAATGCAATTCCTACCAAATGATAAAGATTATTTGCAAAAGAAACCAAATTGTTAATTGTGGTCAAGTGAAATCAACATTTGGTCAAGTGGATTTTGAAAGTTTCCTGGAACTGTGTCCAGTGGAGTTTTGAAAAAATAAATGTCAACCCCTGAATTACAAATGTTATAATAGGCTGAACACAGTCACAAAACACTACAAACACTTAAGGTGAACATAATACAGTACCAAATACATCATTACTGACTAAACGGTTTTTGTTGTTTTTTAAAAATTTAAAATAAACAGTGGGTATGAACTTTGTTTTTCGTGGCAGTTTCGTATGAAGTGACACCAATTTGACTGAAATAGGGCTGAAATCTCCCTCCCTCCCACTCACTCATTCACTGTTGTTAAACAACAATTGTTTGAGTGTTAATGAGTAGTGTCATGTGTTGACCACTGCTGTTGCTGCTTCACTGCACTGCACTGACCAGACCCATGAAGATCGAGCAGACCTTCAGTGAAGTTCAATGTTTCCGGATTAGAAATTGATCTTAGTCAGTAAAACTAAACTCACTCACTCATTGATGGTGAGCATTGTTTCATTGATTTGATTCATTGCCAGCGAACAATCATCATCTAGCTGGAATATTGCTTAGTGTGCAACTTGCTACTTTAAAGTGATGACTAATATATCTGAACATAAACTTCCTGGACTCACTCAGTCATGATGGTGAGTTTTCAAGAATTAAACACGTTTACAGACCCTGACACTTCAGCTCAATTAATCGAAAACCACTAGTTTGTGGTGATGAAGTTATTTCACAAGGTTACCTGGAACTAAGGTGCCATGACTTAAAGTTGGTGACTTCTTAACTGTCATCAATATGTTTAAACAAACTGACAATGTTTGATGTGGAGCTAGGTAAGAAGCCCTGTGGAAATTGACCTCCTATGACATAGCTCATTGTTGTCTCTTTATGTGGGGCGGGGTAGCCTGGTGGTTTAGGTAAAAGTAGTTCGTCCAGCCCTGGTTCGATTCCCCACATGGGCACAATGTGTTAAGTCCATTTCTAGTGTCCCCCGCCGTGATATTGCTGGAATATTGCTAAAAGCGGCGTAAAACTAAACTCACTCACTCACTCTTTATGTGTGTTATTGTTTCAACATGTGTGGTGAATCTGACAAGACAATAGCTTCTGATAGATATGTCATTTTGTTAATGCTTGCCAGGGGCTCTCACATCTGACACTTAAATTTCATGATTTGCAGTATCTTATTACTTCCTTCAATGTCCATGCATGAACCGAAATTGGGTCATTCAGTTAAATAGAGCAGGTAATTCACATGGATTTGGAATCAGATGAAAATCAAACTAATTGATTATTATTTGATTGATTATTCTAGTTTGTTTTATTAATCGTTTTATTTCACAGCTGCAGCTGCTGAGGCATCTCCATTATCTGAGGATGTTGCTGAGGATGTTGTGGATGTTGATGTGGCAGCCAAGAGTTTACAACACCATGACTATTTTGGTGTCCGGGAGCTGGTCACAGTGAGAGATATGTTCAAGGCTAGGGTACATTTCGGTCACAAGGAAGGACTGAGAGATCCGTACATGGCACCCTACCTGTTTGGCAACCGCCTTGGTATTGACATCTTTGACCTTGACCAGACCTTGACCTTGTTCCAAGACGCCCTCAACTTCACAGCCCACATCGCCTACCGTGGTGGCATCATCCTGTTCCTGTCTCGCCACAGACAGACAATGCCATGGGTGGAGCGTACTGCGCTGGAAGCGAATGAGTACTCTCACTGTAGGTTCTGGAAGGGAGGAACATTCACAAATGCCACCGTCCAGTTCGGGACTGTCACACGGCTGCCAGATCTCTGTATCTTCCTCCACACACAGAACAATGCATTTTTGCCTCATGCTGCAATTACGGACAGTGCTAAGCTTCTGATCCCGACTGTAGGGATAGTTGACTCGAACTGTGATCCCCGCCTCATCACGTATCCCGTCCCGGGTAACGATGATACTCCAGTGACGGTGGAGTACTACTGTAATTTGTTCAAAAAGGCGATACTGGCTGGCAAGAGGAAACAGAGGCTGGACGGCTTGGAGCAGGACTAGATTAGTTACAGGATTGTTTGGGAAGGACCAAATTGGACACAAATCAAGCATATAAAAATGGCCAACAAAAGTTGTCCGAGTTCCCAGAGGGAAATGTTTCATATTTCATTTGTAGCAAGACTAAATTACCTTGTACATAAAACCATGGTATAATTATTACTGCAAGTGATTCAAGTTATATAGAAATCTGTGTGCAGTCTCTTTAGTTTGTTACCATTGCATCATTGGCAGTATTCTGTATAAATAGCACATAGACGTGTGTATGATTGTGCCATAATACAAATTCATTGTTGGTGCTCGGATTAAACTTGTGAATCAAGAGATCTTTGTCAGTGTTCTTTTGGAAACCTAGGAACTGGTTACAGAAAATTGTCAGCTATGTGTTAACCAGTCACTGTTGCTTTTTTCTCAGAATGTTTTTCAAGAATAATTCAGAGGAATAGCTGAAATCTTATTTCACTAGTCCTCCTAGCTTGTGACTTGTCCAGCCCGAATGAAACAAAATATATACTGCTGTCAGTTTTGTTCAGTTCAATCTGTATCAAAATTGAAGCATTGAGAGTTGGTTGAGAATGTTAATGATCCAGTCCTAAACTATCCTGTGCATTTGTTCCGCACATTCATTTTGTGCAATTTCATCATTGATGCTGGAGGGGCGGTAGCATAGTGGTAAAAGCATTCACTTGTCACGCCGAAGACCCAGGTTTGATTCCCCACATGGGTACAATGTGTGAAGCCCATTTCTGGTGTCCCCCGCTGTGATATTGCTGGAATATTGCTAAAAGCGGCGTAAAACCATACTCATTCACTCACTCATTGAAGCTGGAACATATGAGATGCCAATATGTCATAGCTGTGTTTTAAGGCACAAACAAGGTTTTCTGATATTTCTGCTAAGTATTCACAACAAAAACACCATATGATTATAACATTTATCTATTATATTTTCATATCGGAGTGGTACTGTATTAAAAAATATGTTACATTAAAATATGTGTATCACAAATTTACATGAAACATCACTTACATAGATTAGTTTTAAAAGAAAGCCAGATGCAATCAATTTGGAGACAAAAGACTGTCTCACCCAAACTCCTGACAATTGGAGCAAGTGAAGGCATTGAATCTTAATGTTGTTTGGAATTCCCAGGACACTTGCACTTAACGTTTCTATTAATCTAATTGAGGTTGCTATTAATAACAGTGAGTTGGTGCAGTCAGCTAAACAGCTTTCACAATTTTTCAAAAGTAATCTTTATAATACTGATTGAAATTAGTAAAAAAATAATAAAAATATAACACAAAGACATATTCAGATACAGAGAACACCTTTTACAACTAGATCATGTGATAACAGAATTACCTTGCATACTCCAGGATGAATTTGCTATGACCAGGTGCTCACGCTAATGCCTCCATGTTGAAAAAAATACTTAGAATTCATTGTATACATGTATAATGTTGCCAGCCCTCAAAGGCTCATACACAGCTGTGTCTTGGGAAACAAGTGGGTATTGTACTTAACAAATATAAATATATGTCGTATATTGCAGGTCTTACACCCATAGCCAATCAGCTTCATCTCTCAACATCAGCAACGAAACATGACACAAACAGGAAGTCACAACTCGTGAGAGATGCGACTGTGAGTGATGCTTTACTATGAATTCCTGGAACTCGACTTTTCAATTCAGTTTTATGTTTGAACAACATACTCTAACAGCGAAAGGCACCATCCTCTTTCGATTATTTGTTCCACTGAAGAGGATGGATCAAATATATTTTGATTTATTCAGACATAACAAATGGTGTTCTAGAATTTGGTACAAATTACCCATTATGTGTGGCTTATGTTGCAGGACTAGAAAAACAAACGGTTCCTGTTTCCAGGCACTGTCTTTTCCAGTATAACATCAACATCAGATTATTAGACTAAACATGTTAGGTTAAACTGTTTCACACTACAATGACAACTGAGGCTAAGTCCTCCAACATTGTGTCTGAGATCTATATGGTTGCAGGTTTTGAAGCTTGTTACACTCAGCTCTGTGACTGAGGGTGGTACAGCAGTATTTGGTGATTGGTTACTCTTAATTCAGCAGTAGAATTAGGAGCAAAATAGCAATATTATCAGGAAACAACATGGCAAAAGTACAACATACATTGCCACAACACAACAATAGACACAGGCCGGTCAGGTAAAAGTCTCAAACTGTAGTTACATTGTGGATCTGTAATGGAAGAACTACCTGGGAAGACTACAAGGGTAGATACTACACACAGGGTAGATACTACATGATGGTATCCTACACACACGGTAGATACTACATGATGGATTCCATGGCGATACTCTATATCAGTATCCATCGTGATACTACATAATGGTATCCATGGCGAAACTCTATATTAGTATCCATCGTGATACTACATGATGGTATCCATCGTGATACTCTATGATGGTATCCTACACACACGGTAGATACTACATGATGGATTCCATGGCGATACTCTATATTAGTATCCATCGTGATACTACATAATGGTATCCATGGCGAAACTCTATATTAGTATCCATCGTGATACTCATGATGGTATCCATAGCGATACTCTATGATGGTATCCTTGGTGCTACTACATGATGGTATCCATCGTGATACTACATAATGGTATCCACAGCAATACTCTATATTAGTATCCATTGTGATACTACATGATGGTATCCATAGCGATACTCTATGATGGTATCCTTGGTGCTACTACATGATGGTATCCATCGTGATACTACATGATGGTATCCATCGTGATACTACATGATGGTATCCACAGCAATACTCTATGATGGTATCCATGGCAAAACTCTATGATAGTATCCATGGTGATACCATACAATGGTACCACATCTAATGAACATAACAGTGTTAGTGCTAAGTTCAGGTTCTGCAGACTTCGGAAGGATGTCTAAAGGTGCATTATAATTATAGCAGCACCATGTATAACTTACAAATAGCTACTGGCTACACCACACATAAGGGCTGTAAATACTGGCACAGTCATGGAATGCTTATTTAACTCAATGGACACCACTCAGAGTTTTACTTCAGAGCAGGTAGTCACAGGTCAGGTTCTGCTGAGCTAGAAAGTACAGTGATACCATGTAATCCTGAACCTCATAGATCAGACACTATAGTCTGTTTGCACTGAAAACGTACCGATAATGTCAATTTAAACAAAAAAGTAAATCGAATAAGATGAAATTAAGATTGCGAATCCTCATGATTTTACCTTGCCAACTGACCATTTAAATCTAAATGTGTTTGCCACCCTTACCAAGGGGAGGAGGTCTCACTGTAATTATAACTAATGGCACACTTTTTCATATCAGTTACAGATTACAGTATTGAATTTCATGAACCTTTTATGAAAATCTCCCACTGTAGATGCCATGAAGATACTTGATTATACTAAGAATCATGGAAGAAATACTTGCTACTCAAACCCAACCCGTTGGATTCTTAACAGTGTTTTCTGAACAGATAATTTTTTAAATTCAAAATTCATATTATCAAAACAAAACACAAATAACAAACTCCAAACCTAAACTACATTATGTTTTACAAAAGTTTTCAAAAGCTTGCAACAGATGATTAAAGTATCACAAACTCCAGAAGTGTACCTCAAAAAGAGGAAATTAGGTTATAGGTAAATATGTTCTCCCACTACTGGCAAGAGTGTTTCCACTCACATATATCAGTAACCATGGTGACTTTGATATGCTGGTCCACATCATGCTCCATTTTCAATATAGATTAAATTAACGAACTTTTAAATAATTACACCTTTCCTTTATAAATGACATGAAATAGTTGACTTCATTTTCAAACATTGATACTTAAAAGTTAAGGCAAGATATTTTACAGGTAAGCAATACTGAACAGTATAATATAGGCACAATTACGGAATTTCAGCAGTTTGAAAGTAATAGAATAAACAAACACATTCATAAAAATATCAGCAACTCTCACTTAGAAAAAGTCCTCTCACATCTGAGAAGGAATTACTGCAGTTGAACTGACACATCATGCAATGGTGGTAAGATCAACTTTAGGACAAGAAGTTTGATCATGTCACCATGGTATGATGTCGACCAATTCTGCCAGCAGGCAGTATAGCAGAGGCTTCCCATCTGCTGATGCCAGGAGGGGCTGAAGTGGCAGAATTCGGAACATTATTGGGTGGCAAGGGATAGAAGGCTTGCACTGTGGCCCTCCTTGTCTTCAAATGGGAAACACGTTGCTGAGCTTCTATGAACCTCTCGTTAGTCTCCTGGAGAAGCCTTGTGCCTAGAGCAGCTCGTGTGGTTGAAGTCTCGCTCTGTCTCATCAGCTGCCGATGCTCCATGAACTTTCTGACCATGGCCTGCTGCTCCCCCTGGTGACACTTCTTGTCAAGGACGAAGGACTTCTTGGACTGAACCAGGTCCTCCACCTTGGCCTGTCTGTCATGACGCAGCAGGGCATTGGATACTGATGTGTGCTGGTTGTTGAACTCTGTCACAAAACCACGGTCGATTTTGTGACTCTTGACAAAATCAGTTGCCTTGTTCTTTATCTCCTGGCGCTTGTCAAGGTAGTTCAACCTCTGCAGCTCATGCCTTTCTAAAGAATCCAACATGCGGACCCTGTCTCTGTCTCTCTTCTTCAAAGCTTGGTTCCTCTTTTCCTCATGATACATATTTATCCTGTCTCTTGCGCGCATTCGTTCTTCACGCATGTTTAAGATATACTCCATCTTCGCAGCAGCTTTTTCTGCCTTCTCACGGTCCTTGTACGCTTTCTGTACAGCAAACAGACAGGACATTCCCATAGTGCCATGGACCCGTGCAAATATTCTTTGATCCGTTGTGGTGTGTTTGGGCAATACAATTCTGGGGAGAGGCGCGTCCATGATCTTGCGGTGATGTTCAGCTTCTGCCTCCCGAACCTGCCTCCCAGCTTCCTTTCGCTCTAGAATCATTTCCGTAGTTGTGTCCACCAGGTGAATGTTTGGCCGCTTGCCACGGAGACGGTAATGGGTGATTGGCGAGTCATCCTCACCCACTTCTACCTGATCCTCCTCCTCTACTGTCTCAACCATTGGGCCAAAGAACTGCTTCACACTTTTCACCTTCCTGGGCTTGTCTTGTTTCTTCTTCCTCCTTGGTCTGCGGACAGATTCTGTATAAGTGCTTCTATCATTGGCATCCATCGAGAAAATGGTTTCTATGGCAACTGCATCTTCCTGCAGACTCTGGAATGTCCCACTCTGGAGTTTGGCAAGATTGATGACAATGTTTGTCTTTTTGTGAGGAGAGTCTGTCATGTTTCCCTGTCCAGCAGCTGACGTCTCCCCTTGGTCATCAAGACTCTGCAAGTATACTACCACTGTTACAACAATACAGAGTATTATCGACTCAGGAACAGTTAGGATGTTGTTCGACAAGTTACATGCTTAAAATAACAAATTACTGTTGTTCTGTATTTCCCTGTGAGATCATGCTGACCTGACTAATATTTGATAATTTTGAAATATGCCATGGTGCTAAATGAGACTCACTGTCATGAATATTTGAACTGAATCATAAACACTTGAACCGAATTATGAACATCTGAACTGCATTATTTGAATACTAGTACATGTATTAGCTACAACAGACAGATACCTAACAGAATCTGTATATGAGTTCAAGGTATTTATTAAAATCTAAATATTTTAGATATTTAAATACTTACCTTACCATAGGTCTTATGCATATTACCTCAAGCTCCGCTTAAAGAGATCAGACAGTCGTTGATTCGCCATTCTGTAGAACGGCCACCTCGTGTATCGACGAGTGTACAGGCAACGGAAGTGACGTGATCTCCCCTCCCGCGCAAGCGCGGTCCATCCAAAATCACTTTTACTGACCAGGTCCGAAGAGCCCAGAGAGGGGAGGAGCATCCAGCGTTGGGAGGAGTTACCGCCCTATGGTAAGGTAAGTATTTAAATATCTAAAATATTTAGATTTTAATAAATTTTAACTTACCTTACCATAGGTCTTATGCATATGGATTCGACAGTAGGATCGGCAGTGTGTCGGGCTCCAGAGGACCGTCCCACCTAAAACCCACATGCCAAGGGAAAACCAGAAGAAACTACTGAATCGCCAGACTGTCGCAGGAGGCTTCTGAACAGGAGACAGATAGTGACTAAAGGCAACCCTAAGGAAAACAAATACACCCAGAGTGTAAGTTAACCTGAAGACCAGAAGGTAAGAAGAAGTAGTTACCTAATGGGCGGTAGGATGGGTGAGTTGCTGAGCAACCACCAGTGGACCAAACGATTGAAGACCTTCCACGCCCTCGACGGCCAAATCCCGCAGGTAATGACTAGCGAAGACAGTAGAGGACTTCCAAAACAACCCTCCATGATGGCTGGAACGGTGCAGTTTCTGTGGAGAGCCATGGTGGATGCCAGAGCCCTAATCTCATGCGGATTAGTGGCTGTAGGATGAGGCAGATCTTGGCGATCGTGAGGGCGGTCAGGATGGTAGTATCGGAGCCAGAGCTAAGCTGTTCTTATTAACTTCACCTTTGGCCACAGAAGACAACGGATGAACAGTCTCTTCTACGAGACTGCCTCCTGGAAGATGACTTGGCAATATAAATCTTAAGTGCCCTCACGGGACAAAGCAGCTGTTCCTCAGCCGTGAGGTCCTAGAATGGAAGACAAAGGAGGGATGGAGAAGATCCTATCCGTTGTCCCGCAGCTGGTTCTTGGCCACGAAGTCCCAAAGCAGTCCGAGATGAACAAGACCATGCCGTGACTGCTCAAAACGCACCCTGGTGACATCCAATGCGTGGATCTCACTAACCCTAGCTGCTGTGGCCAGGGCCAAGAGAAAAGCTGTCTTCCTGGAGAGGTTCTCAAAAGAAGCCGTGGTCCAAGGGCTCATAAGGGGACCTCTCAGATGATCGAAGAACGACGCTTAGGTCCCAAGCAGGAGGACGGAGCTTTGCTTCTGGTCCTCCAGCTTAAACGCTTTGAGGACGGCAATGAGTTCTGGCACCTTTGAAATCTTTTGTCGCGACTTGACCGCCAGAACGGAGTTAAGAGCCGATAAATAAGTTCCTATAGTGTTGCCCTTGAGACGCCGGGACTTCGAAGAAAGAGAAGGAACTCTGCTATAAACTGAGGAGAAGCCTTCAATGGGTCCTTGGACTTCTGTGCACAAAACTTCTCAAAAGAAACCCACTTATCATCATAGAGTGATCTTGTGGAGACTCGATGAGCACGAAAGCAATAACCTTGGCGACACCCGTGGAGAAGCCCTTGGCCTTCAGCTTTTTGCAGATGATCCAACCGCACATGAAACCGAGTCGGATCGGGATGCCACTGTCGACTGTGGGGATGCCTGAGCAGGTGAGGCCAGTCTGGTAACTGTTATGGACTTCTTTCGGGCGAGATCGGCGCAGATCTGGGAACCAGGTTCTGGCTGGCCACCAAGGCGCGACAAAAGCAGACGAATCGCCTCTGTCCGCTTGACCTTTGCTATTACCGCTGGCAACAGAACTGGTGGTGGAAAGGCGTGCACGCCCAGACCCTCCCACGACAAGGACATGGCGTCGACCGCCCATGCCGCTGGATCTGGAATCGGAGACACGCACAACGGCAGCTGTGTGTTGAAGCGAAGTGCAAAACAGGTCGATCAGAGGGCGGCCGTGACTGTGACAAAGAAGTTTGAACGCTTCTGGATGTAGCATCCACTCTGTTGGAGACGGTTTGCCCGGCCTTGAGAGAGCGTCTGCCAAAACGTTCTTGCACCCTGGGATGTGTCGGGCTCTGGCGCTGATGCCATTGTCGTCCAGGAGACTGGCCAGCTGGAACGCCTGCTCCAACAACTGTTTGGACCTGGTCGTTTCCTGATTGTGAATCAACCACACCACCGTGGAATTGTCTGACGCTATCAGGAGCCTGGTGTTCCGCAACAGAGGCACCCAGTGTCGAACCGCTAAAATGACTGCTTGCAGCTCCAAGTTGTTGATGTGCCATCCTAGCTCGGTGCCTGACCACAGCCCCCAGGTGGTCTGGTCGCTTGAGGTGAGCACCCCAACCTTGAAGAGACGATCTACGAACAGTTCGTGATCGTGAACAAACTCTGTCAAGGAGACTCCTGCGCAGACGCTCGACTCGACAGTCCACCAACGGAGGTAAGCGTGGAGATGCAGGGGCAAAGGAACCTCAACTGAAGGTCGTCCGCCTGGATGTAAGGCAACAGGAAGCGCTGTAACGGCCGAAGCATCAAGCGACCTCTGAGCGCCAAGTCCTGGGCTGAGGTGAGGAGACCTAAGAGGGACTGCCACTCCCTGAGCACGGCGGCTGGGATAGACCTCGGGTTAGCGAAACTGACAATCTTTCTCCAGCGATCTAGCGGAATCCTGACAAGGTCGCAATGTGTCAGGAAGAGGCCTCCTATAAACGCCAGTTCCTGGACGCTCCAGGTGGGATTTGTCTATGTTGATAATCCATCCCAGTTGCTGCAAGAGATGAATGGCAAAGTGCATCTGTTTGGCGAAGCAACTGAGGGTCGAGGTGGTTCATGAGACAGTCGTCTATATAAGGGTCGGTCGATGCCCCTGAGATGGAGGAACCGGTGATCGGCGAGGTAATCCGAGTAAAAGCCACGGGCCGTGGAAATTCCAAATGGAAGCACTTTCCACTGGTAGTGGGACCCGTTGAAAAAGAACCTCAGGTACTTTCTGTGACGGTGGTAAATGGGCACATGCAGGTAGGCATCCTGAAGGTCGAGGCTGGCCAACCAGACCCTGGGCGCAAGCTTGGCTCAGAAGCTGTTCCAGGGACACCATGCAGAAGTGAGGCGGTTCGAAAGATAAAGGTGGTTGAAAACTGCCATGTTGTGAATCATTCGTAGTTTCCCTGAGTCCTTCTTGGGAACCAGGAAGATTGGTGAGTAGAACCCGAGGGGACTGTCGGGGTCTAGCACTGTCTCTATAGCTTGTTTGTGTAACAGAGTGTGGATGCTGTCTGCTAGCAGTAACTGTTGGTCTGGAGCATACACACACACGTGACTGGGGTGTTGAAGTCAGAGAAGGCGCATTAACGGGCGATTGGCAGCTTGTAACCGGTCCTGAGAATGTTGGTGATAAACGGGTCTTCCAGGATTGTCCAATTGGGCCAGAAGATCCCAGTCTCCCGCCTACTGGAGTAGATTTTGAACCGCACGACTGGGGCGGAGGTCCCAGTCGTGTTGGGTCGCAACTTCAGCGACCGGGCAAGGGGCGCCTCCCCTACCTGCCGGGCGTCGAAGGGGTCCCGGGGGCGATCCTGCTGACGGCGCTGAAAAACAGGTTCGATCTGCCACGGCCACGCCCTCTGCCAGAGGCGCCGCGGACGGAGTCTCTTCGGGGCGTAACGGCGCTTCCCTCTACCCCTTGCAGATGATCTGCCACGAAGGCCGAACTCAAAGCTTCGAACGTAGACAAAGAAACCTCCGTATTGGTAAGCTCTGCGTGTTCCTTATACACCTCCGAATGCCGTCATTAAAGAGGAAACGAGGCGCAAAAGGGGCTCTTAACAGTTTCCTTTAAACTCTTCCTGCCAAGAACAGGGCTCCAGGAAACCCATCCGCCCGAACAACCGTTGTCATGGCCAGAGCCGCCGGAGGTGCGCCAGCAAATCATGCAACACCTTGCCCTGCCATTGAAACAGGGTGGTAAGATGTTCTAACCTTGACCTGTTGTCTTCCGTCAGATCCCAAGCAGCAGCCGAAGTTGCCGAGGCCAACGCTGATACCGGCTTCAACATCCGCTTGAGTTCTGCATCAATGGCCAACATCTTGGAGTCCTGCACCTCGGTAGGATGCCTGTGGGAAGCCGATAAGCGCTTGAGGGACTCGTCATGAGCCAGCGCTTCCATCGGCAAAATCCAAACTATGAATCTTGTAGTCTCCTTTGCATGACTTTGGAGCCTTTATCGTGGTATTGAGAGACAAAGTAGCAAAATCAGCGTCCAAAGAAGCCACAGCATCGGCCACCATCGGGTGAGGCGGGAGGAGTAACTCCGGAGAAGACCGAATAGCCTTCGGGTCGGCCGAACCTGAAGAGGGAGAAGGACAATCCGGCAGTCTGTCGGCAATCCAGTCGAACACAGCAGAGAGAGGGAGGTAGGTGCCCCCATCATCATCATCCTCTTGCAACATTTCCTCATTATAATCGGGAGAAAAATAGCGCTCCTCAGTGTCCTCCCAGGACACGGTAGGAGCAGTAAATCGTTGACCCGAAGCAGCAGGCTTCGGTGGGCGCACCGATGACAACTGAGAAGCAGCACTCAAAGTAACTGTCGGGGAACGTGGACGACGCGGCGAGCGGCGAACAGGAGGTGACCTTGAACGGGACCGACGGTATCGCCTACCACGCATCGGTGACCTAGAGCGCCTCTCCCTATCCTTGGAACGTACGGGAGAGCGAGACCTTGAATCAGACCGACGACGGCGAAGAGAAGTATCCGAACTAAGACGAGGACTCCTAGACCGATGATGCTGCCGAGGAGACCTGGAACGAGATCGTCGAGCACGATGGGAACGCTCGGCGTCCTGACGTTAACTGACGTTGTAGGTTCTCCTCTCTAGACACTGTAGCCTTCCTGGGGATACGGTAGTCTGCCAAAGGCGTCGGAGTTGGCGCTGGCGTCGGTACAGGCGTCGGCGTCAGCATGGGCGTCGGCGTCGGCGTCGGCGCCGGCGTCCGCATGGGCGTCGGCGTAGGCATCGACGTTGGTTGAAGCAACAAGTCAGCAACTAGAGAATCAAGTGCCACAGGCGTCGGCGCAGGGACAAAGCTAGGCAACGGCGCTGGAACGGTGCTAGCTTGGGCTCCGGCAGCTGCCGGCAAAAGGAGCGTCCGGAGCAACTTCTGAACCTCCGGATGCGACAAAGCGTCCGGGTGGGATAGGTCAACAAAGGCGTCAGACGAGCGCTTGGCTTCAGGCGTCAGCAAACGAGGCGCAGGGGTGGACGGCTGATCTATCACAGGAGAAGAGCGTCCGACCGGCGTACGAGGGGGAGAAGACCGGGAGTCCACAGAAGAAACAGGGGAAGACATTTTCCTCCTCCGTTGTGACAAGCGTTTCTTCTTAGCGCTGAGGTAGGCCTTGAAATCTGCGACGGACAGCGGAGTACAAAAAGTGACAGCTTCGTCAATGGAACAGGCAACAGTCGCACAGTCTGGGCACCAGGGGTGTGGGTCCTTGGCAGACTTCTGCACCTTGCAGATGCAACAAAACTGCCGGGTCATGCACACCAAAAGCTGTAACACACAAATGTGAAACGTAAAAACCTAGAAACAACCCCTGCAGACGAAAAATGGAAGCACCCTCCCACAAGAATGGGCACGCCTGAAGTAAGTGGGACAGTCGTAAACAACCAAGATGGCTGCCCCCACACTGAGCCGAAAAAAGCGTGAAAAAACACAAAAATTAGGCAAGAAAAAAGAAGGTACACAAAAACAAGCATGAAACAGAAGGTGGAAGAACCCTAGAGGTATCAAAACACCCAAACATGCCACGTGGAAAAAAAAACTCGGAACGTGGGGACACACCCCAAGCCGAAGTGAAAAACATAAACACGAGGTAGCCAGGTAAGTGAAGTTACTTGTAAATTATGTTCTTCACCCACAGAGAAGAGACATAAGATAGAAAAACATACATACCAATAACTTTAATATCTGAAATCTATTAGTAAGTGTCTGAAACTTAGCGAACCAAAAACGTCTGACCAGCAAGACGCTTGAAGTAAAAGTGATTTTGGATGGACCGCGCTTGCTCGGGAGGGGAGATCACGTCACTTCCGTTGCCTGTACACTCGTCGATACACGAGGTGGCCGTTCTACAGAATGGCGAATCAACGACTGTCTGATCTCTTTAAGCGGAGCTTGAGGTAATATGCATAAGACCTATGGTAAGGTAAGTTAAAAATTAAGTATATAATCCCACAGAGATCAGGCAATGTGGCAAGAAAATATGTGATGCTTAAATGTAAGAAAGACGTACCCCAACAAGAGACTGGTGGGGTACTGAGGCTACTGTGGTCTCGCTGTGGATGTTGGATCCTGGGCGGCGATGTTTCATGTAGGTATCATAGTCCATAGATATCCCATCAGGCCCCAGGTCCTGCAAGCTCCGTGCAGCATTGTTCATAGGTGTAGATGGTGGAGGTGGGAGGAGCTCGGAGGATGTAGCTTGCATGCCCTTCTTGATGTGACGCTGAATACCAAGACTGTGTCTGAAGAAGGCATGGTCAAGGGTCACAGCAAGTGAGCGAGCGAGTGAGTGAGTGAGTGAGTGAGCGAGCAAATGTTGATTAATGCTGCAGTCAGCAATATTCCAGCCATATAATCCATATTATCTTGTGCTGTTACATTATACAATAATGGAATTTATGTGAGCGCAGCACCTGTTGTTAGGTGCCCCCAAAATTCCTACTTCATAACATCTGGTACTGAATGGACATAAAGTCCAAACCTGACAACACAATGCGGGTATTCTTGTGGAGATTGAGGAGTGTCATACAACTATACCAGCATGGGATTAGAACCAATGACCAGACCATCCTTATACTTATAGCAAACTGACACTATTCTGTATTTGTTGCATGTGCAGGTCACAAATGTGCGATTTGATTAAAATCAGTACGACTTTCAGCAAAACTTTGAAGACATCAGCTTCGAGAAATAGTTGTAGGAAACCCGACCACATGAATGTGACCCGTTTTTCAGCCATATCATACTGAATTCTAGAAAGATCATATTATCATTTGACTGAAATTAAGACCAGAATACAATACTTATTTGCTGATCTTTCAGACCATATTTTTGGACATTATAAGAAAAACCACCATAACATATTAAAGTCCATATTTTCTTACTGAGTGTATCTTAGGCACACTTTGATGATGACAAATTGTACGCATATCGTTAAACAAAGAGATTAAGATAATAGCAGTGGATGGATACCAGATTAATTCATAATTGTGACTATAGAACTTTGTTTACATGTGCACTTGCTGTGAATAACCTCATACATCTCAGTGTTATGAAAGAAACATGTTCAGCATGAAAGAACAAAGTTCACCTTTTCCGAGAGATGTATCCGCGGTAGTATCGCTGTATGATGAGGACGGGGGAGCGGTGGGCCTGGATGACATTGATGCGAGCCTCTATGTGCTGCATCAGCCACACCTCATCCTCGTACGTGTTTTCCTGCAACATCACCAACACAAAGGGAGTTACGGTAAATAAACAACATGTCATGACAAAACCGGGACCATTTTACTGGAAAATTCACTGCTGATTTACCTCTGAACCACCTTCTGCTGAATTCCAGAAGAATTTAAAATAAACCTCAGATCAACCATGTGAGTGAATTTAGTTTTACGCTGCTTATAGCAATATTCCAGCAATATCACAGTAGGTGACACCAGAAATGGACTTTACACATTGTACCCATGTGGTGAATCGAACCTAGGTGTTCTGCATGACGAACAAACACTTTAACCACTACGCTACCCCACCGACCCATCAAGCATGTGAACCATTGAGAAGTCGCCAAGCATGATACAAAGACACATGTTAGTTATCTCTAAAATAATAAACATGGTAAGTAAAACTATGGTAGGTATTTCTGAAGCAGCAGTAAAATATTACCTGGCATCTTGCAAAGATACAGTGAGTGAGTGAGTGAGTTGAGTTTTACGCCGCACTCAGCAATATTCCAGCTATATGGCGGCGGTCTGTAAATAATCGAGTCTGGACCAGACAATCCAGTGATCAACAGCATGAGCATCGATCTGCGCAATTGGGAACCGATGACATGTGTCAACCAAGTCAGCGAAACTGACCACCCGATCCCGTTAGTCGCCTCTTACGACAAGATAGTCGCCTTTTTATGGCAAGCACATGGGTTGCTGAAGACTCACGGGTCGCAAAGATACAGAGCATATTATCTGTTACAATGAATTGTTAATCTGGAATCATTCAAATTCCACCCTTTTCACTGGGACCAGGACATCTGGGTTAACAGTTTCATGGTGTATAAAGGTTCACATATTGAACAATACAGCATAACTGCTTTATCTTTATGATGATATTCATGTTCATAATACATGGTAGCATCACTTTGAGAAATGGTATACTATTACATCACACTTAACCAATTCATAAAATTGAGACTGGTTTTTGTAACAACCCTAACCAATTTGGATTTAATGACAAACTGTTGCAGCATTGGTATGAATGCAATTACCAGATTTATATCATATATTATAACTTATTACTTATTACTATATTATAACTTATGCATATTCTAGACAAGAAAAACAATCAGTATGACTCAATTACTTCTTTAAGTATCATTTGGAAGCTGGTATGATGAGACATTTTGGTGTAGATGCTAACACTGTTATCAAGCAAGTTAGACAAAATGTTGCTATAAAGAAGTTGTCAGGCCATAAAGTTTGTTGAGGTTCAGTATGACTCAATGTTATAAGGCTAAACTTTTACAGGTTAGATCTTCTATCTTTGATGTTAACATTTGATAAAGGTTAAAACCGATGTACACAAACTCAAAAAAACTAAATACTTCATCAGTGCTTCACAGGTTTTATATACACTATGTTCCAACATCACCAACAGAGTGCAGTCACCTACATCGGACTGGGACCCAAGGGAGATAAAATATATCAGTGAGTGAGTATGGTTTTACTTATACAGTGACCGCTTTTAGCAATACTCCAGCAATATCACAGCGGGGGACACCAGAAATGGGCTTCACACATTGTACCAATGTTGGGAATTGAACCAGGGTCTTCGGCGTGATGAGCGGTCGCTTTAACCACTAGGCTACCCCACCACCCCTAAATTGTATCAAATACCCAAAGAAAATTATCAAAACACAAAATGAATGATGAGTTAGTAAATATTCATTGGCTTAAACAATTATCTGGTTTTGAATCATGTAAGAAATCTTACCTCCATTCCAGGAAGACACAGCTCGATGTACAAGGAAGGATGCATTGTGGCAAACACCCCCGCGAAGTTGGAATCCTCAATGATCTCTTCGTCAGACACAACATGGTGGTCAAGGACTCGCAGGGTCCACACGGAGTTGACAACGTGATGCCGGTAGTTCTTGCGGAGACTGAGAGGAGTGTCATACAGGGTCAAGCCAATCAGACAAGGACAGGTACCCAGGCTGTGAATTGTTTCAAACTTGCCCACTGGGTTGTCATGGAGATGCAGGAATTTTAGTCGGCGAAACCCAGACCAGAATGCCATTCCAGGTATACTAGACAACTGAAATAGTTAATAAGAAGTCATGAAAATGATTAAGTATACGAATTATTGCATAAAAAAGACTGACTTTAATATTTTATGAGTTAAGTAGGTTTAATGTAAAAACTGGCAAGCATATATCAGTTTTTACATTTATAAATCCAAACTGCTAAAGCATATTTAAGTCAGTGCTCATAAATAAATATGCCAACAGTAGTATTTACTTTAAAAACTGCTTATTAATTCATTGACACATAAACACTATTAGACAACAATGGGAAATTTGTGATTTGTGACATCATTTGGTGCACTAATGCAGGACATATGTTGAGCCACACTGCTCACTACTCATGAAATACACAATGCCATTTAGAAAGTGGTCAAATGTAACATATGTTATATTCGGGATTACACTTTCTTTGTAAAGTACAGATTTTAGTACTTTTGTTGGGTTGAGTCCCATCTGGGATTCGAACCCACACCCTCAGAGTCAGGCACCTAATCGCCAGCACACAAAGTCAGACGCCTAGACTGCTCAGCCACCGCAGCTTCCACAAAAGCATCTGACTTTGTGTGTTGGCGATTAGGTGCCTGACTCTGAGGGTGTGGGTTCGAATCCCGGATGGGACTCAACCCAACAAAAGTACTAGAATCTGTACTTTACAATGAAAGTGTAATCCCGAATATAACATATCTCACTACACATGTATTACATGTTGTATGAATGAGTGAGTGAGTATAGCTTTACGCCTCTTTTAGCAATTTCCAGCAATATAAGGCAATAAATGGGCTTCACACATTGTACCCATGTGGGGAATCAAACCCAGGTCTTCAGCGTGACGAGCTGATGCTTTAACCACATGTTATATGTATGTTATAACATTTTGAACAAAATACCAAACAACTACTGTAAGCTATAGACTTTTCAATGTGTCTGCATATTGATGACAAATGATGGACAAGCTGATCAAAACATTTCAGTCAGATGAGCTAAAGATGTCAATGATTTAAACCTTCAGTCATCATGGAATATGTCATAAAACATACAATGAACTAAGTGTTATAGACAAAGTCCACTTTTATTCATTCTACATGACACTTCAGTACAGATTTCATCAAGCAAGATTCTGTAAAGAAACATCAAATAGAAAGAAGAAAGAAGTTGTTATCCATAAGGGGCGGTGGGGTAGCCTAGTGGATAAAGCGTTGGCTTGTCACGCCGAAGACCCGGGTTCGAATCCCCACATGGGTACATTGTGTGAAGCCCATTTCTGGTGTTCCCTCGCCGTGATGTTGCTGGAATATTGCTAAAAGCGGCGTAAAACCAAACTCAGTCAGTCAGTCAGTTATCCATAAGACAGCTCCATCTACATTATACTATCGCTGAATAATGCAAAATCAACACGTTTAATGAGACACAGAATTTCATGTCTTGTCAAAAATCTTTGTTGATGGTATAGGTTGAACATAAAAAATGTCTGCAAATAATGAATTAAATTGAGTCTTATAAGTCCTGGTCTAATAGTGCTATTAAACATAAATAAAGTACTATTAAACATAAATTATACATTCTAACCTGGTTGCTATGGAGATCCAGCTTGACAAGCTGACGACATCCTGCTAGGGGTTCTATCTTGGAGAGGAAGTTGTTGCTAAGGTTACATATCTGGAGATTCAAACACATGCTGATTTCACCAACTTTCCGCAAATGAAGTCCATTCAACTGTATGAAAAACAGCTGACTCAGCTTTTTGGCCTTCTTGTTAGCGGCCCTGCAATGCTCCAGTATGAACTTCTCCTCGGGCACGATGAAGTATCCATGGCGTTCTGCCTGTCGGATCGCCTCCTCCTCACGTTGTTTGTAGTACTTCTGTAGATGGGAGTTGGGGTCATTCTTGTTGAACTGAATGTCATGCAGGCGTGAGAACCTGGCCCAGTCCGGTATGCTCACCATGATGACGTGTCTTCAGTCAGTGAACACAGTGGAGCTGTTACCACATAGCTTCTATAAACTCAGTTGTTTGACCCCATCTAAGGGAGCATCAGAATAGCAGCAGTTACCTTTTTATCTGAAAAAGAAATGATTCTTTCAATGAATGAATCACACAATATGTCCTTCTTTCTTCCCCTGTGCAGATCGATGCTCATGATGTTGATCACTGGATTGTCTGGTCCAGACTCGATTATTTACAGACCGCCACCATATAGCCGGAATATTGTTCAGTGCGGTGTAAAACTAAACTAAACTCACTCAATCACTCTACCCTCCCTAATATATCAGGTGGTGTATCAGGGGCTTGAGAGTAATGTATTCCTGGAATCTGACTTCAAATCCCTCTTAAAACATCATGAATCTGCCTCTTTATGCACACTTTGATCCATAACCTCCATTTGTCTCTAACGTTTGGGTATTAGGCAAAAAAAAAATATATGTCTGTTTCCGGTAACCCGACCGACCCTATCCTAACCCCCTGACCCTAAATCTTTTTTTAACCAAGTCAATATCATGACTGGAGTGCATTTCAATTTTCATTTTTATCCAAATCAAGCATAATATTTTTATGTTTTTTAGTGTACATAGGGCTAAAATGGATTGCATTGAATTGGCATAAAGGGCTCTCACTGACAAAACCTGCAAATAAATAACATAAATAATGATTTCATACAGAAATCTTTCAATGTTTCATCACAAGGCATTCTCAGTCTCACTACATGATATGGTACTCTTGAAAACCTTCTCAGGTGCCCACCTGGTGCTACTAAAATTTTTTTAAAGTTTTAAAAAAGAAGATAAAACCGACCCACCTACCCTATTTTTGAAAAGCATGTAATAGGAAACAGACATATATATTTTGTTTGGCCTTAAAAGCTATCTTGGGTCCCCTCTGTTGTGAGACACATAACTAAGATAGGAATTGTTAGACGGACATGTCACCTGATCTTACATTCCACCAACTTAAGCATTGCATTGTTGCACACGTAATAAAATCATGTACATAAACATACAACTGTTCAGTAAACAATTCTTGCCCTACCTTGGTAATCTGCCAACCATGATAAGCCAAAAACATAAATGAACATCACAGCACACACATGAACATATAGCTGCTCAAAAAATTCTTCCAGAATTGACTTGGCAATATGTCAACAACTACTACTAGCATGTCAGAGCAAACCTATCAACATATAGTAGCTCAGGAAACATTTCTAGACTTGACTTGGTAAGCGTCCAAGTTGAACCTAAGCCTCTCACAGTGTACACTGATTATTTACCATACACATTAACACACAGTGGGGTCTCCACCTCACAGAGGACTGATCTAAATGCTTCGGTAAACACTGGAGAAAGTGTTCTGTATAGAAAAGTCAAGCTTGTAATCTGAAATCTGTTTATCTATTGTATTGCCACAGTCTGTACTGAGGGCTGGTACTACATGATTGGTACAACCCTGGGTTGCTGGGAACAGAGACCAGAGGATGGTAACTCACAATCTACACTGCTACCCCTTGTGTCATTAGTATTTATAACATTAGTTGGTTCATTTCATTTATCACAGTATTTGCTCACTTCATTGACTATTTTCAATTTGTATGTTATTATCGAACTTATCTGTAAGTTCTACCAGATGATGGGGCCAGAACAAGCCCTGAAATGTTGTACCAAACAATAAAGAAGATGAAACATAGAAAAGTCTCTATGTTCATCAAATAGCATCTTCTGAAATGCCAATCAAACATCGAACTTGCTTGTTGTTTTATGCCACAGTCACCAGTCTTCCAACAATACCAAGTTCAACTGTAAAATGCACCGCAAACCAGTGGTTGATGTTATGAGTAACATTCAGTGACACCAAGGTACAACGTCACAACCAACAAAGTCATAGCGCCTGGTGAATTTGGTGAGTGAGTGGGTGGGAGGGTAAGTGGGTGAGATTATGTCTTGGCATGTCCACTTGATGTGAGAGGAAAGTCCCCAATGATACAGATTGCAGACAATTACCCATCCATAATCACCCATGGTGAAATCCATAATCATGGGTTCAAGTCCATGATGATCATAGGTGTCAGGAACACCAAAGGGAGGCAACACTGAGAATTGTGGAACCATTGGTAAACTAATTTCCCCTACATGTTGAGATGATAAAAAAGAATTGCCTGATGGAATGAAAGAATTGCTTCGATGGAATGAAGAAATGGAATGAAGAAAGTGACAGACCACAACCTGTTTCAGTTCCTATCTAAGCTTACTTACTGACAGAAATAGCTGTCTATTGTTAATCTCTGTGTCCAACTGTCAGTAACGTCTCATTCTGTATTAACAAATAAATTTAATTACCTGTATGATAGTTGGTTAAAAAGATACACTGGTACATATAATTAATATATTATTACATATTTTTCTTAGTCTGATTATCATGGTTATGCATTGTTTTGTCTTGAACATTCAGTGGTGAGGTAAAATGGGTTTTAAGATTATTATAATATTATCACACTTATGTACTGAGCTGAAGAGTCCTTGTTTCAGAGTGCCAAGTTGGGAACAACAGTGTGAGATCTTTTAACACCTCCTTGTATGACATCGACACAGCCATTACCAGTAGCTTTTTAGCATACCCCATATAGAACATCAGGGATTGGTAAAAAAGGTCATGTCTACATTTTACCTAAGTATATATTTGAAAATATACCATTATAATCAAATACTGTTAATGCTTACCAGCAACATGTGTTTACAGGTGACAATTTACACCTGACACTGACAGATGGGACAGATTTGTAATTTGAAAGTGGAATTACAATATATGATGATGATTTTAATGGGGGTCACCCATTTTGTTCTGGGGAGTGGGTTTGTTTTCAGGTACCTAGGGGGTCAACAATTTTGTACATAAAAATATTATGCTTTAAAATAATGGGAGGGGCCATTGATTTTATACATATGAAAGGGGGTCACTTACTTTGTACGTACATTTTAGGGGGTCATTCACATTGTACACATATGCCTCTGCATAAAACTCATCACCACCTCACCCCCACACCCCTTGCCATAAATTATGAATGTTCCCTTCAGTAGAAATTACTTTTGTTCTTGACTGATTCTATAATTCTCCATGATTGATAACGATCATTTCAATGCAAATTACAATGCTTTCACTTCATAATCACTGTTTCCTCTTGGAAGAATTTGTTACTTGATATCTGTTCAATGTGGAAATATCTATTTAAAATATTGGACGGGAATAAACAAAAATTTCGACAGATTGTGTCATATTTTATCCCGTACATACAAAACTATAGTTTTATTAACATACTCATGGTGTGTGTTTACGTCTCTAAGGAGGCACTGAACCTTTACGTCTCTATCCCTATTTTTTATATCAATATCAAATAGCAACATTCCCAATGACTTAATTTTCTAAAATATATTTCATAGGACTACAACGTGCTAAATGGCTGATGCCGCATATGCCAAAATAAAACAATGAAATGACAACAATATAAAATCACAACAAATATTTTACGTACTTTGTGATCATAGTATCCATTTAGAAAGACGCCATTTTGTAAACGTTGCCATTGACAGCGGAAGCGGAAATCTCAAAGGGAAGTAATAACGTAAACAAAATGTCGAGCGCTTGGAAGATAATGCCATGTGCTTTGTCGGAACTTCGCCTTGACCATACTCTAAAATGTGGTCAGTCCTTCAGGTTGGTTGGTTGCCGATAAAAGTGTGTTTAACCAAGTAAATACCACAGGTCCTCCTTTCATTGCTAACTGTCTTATCGGGATAAGCCAGGTATGATAGGACAATCGACCATGGTTATCATGCCGTGGTGCTGAGGAAAGACTGTCGCCCGTATCCCCCTTGAAATTTCATATAATGTTGATAGAAACTAGCAACTACGTGTAGAATGCAGCCCCAGCCAACGATGCCTTACCGCCGTGGAGCAATTATCGCACTATACGCCCGTTCTCACTAATGAGGTGCAAATGGGTAAGCCTTCGTAAGTCAAAAATCAACTACACAAAATCTATGCAAAAACATTTTATTTAGACAGTTTGGTATATGGTCTATTACATATCACTTTTTCAGCCACACCATTTTAAAAATAACCATACAGCTGTTATCTAAATCTGGCACCTTGAATTATAAAAAAATATCACCTGATACGTACGTGACTAGTTCTTCTGACTAGAGAATTAAGTGACAATGTGATAAATTATTTGAGTAACCTATCAAATATTCCGCATGAGTTTGGCGATTTAGTAACACACATGTCTGCTCAAAGACTTTAGAAGTACTTTGACATACACATTGTAAATCATTATTACTCAGATTGCTTTTTAAAAAATACCAACAAATTGCAAAAACATTCTAAAATCAAACCTGATAACTAGATAAGCCGACAATCTGAGGGCGTAGTAGACCAAAAACTGAGTAGCAAAATATTTGATCGATAGCCAGCTGCAACAACATAAAACTCATGAAAATTACCAGTCACTTTTTGCAGTACAAACAGTAACATATGTAGCCCAACTTTCAATTGTTTCAAATAAGATTTTTATTATGAAGAATAATACTTTTTCTTACCTAAACATCGATTAAAACACATCAGCATCGTTTTCTTCAGGATTACAAGATTCTATCGTTTCTTCCTTTACAGTTTTTAGTGCTACATAAAGACAATATCAGGGTGATCAATATTAATCATCATAAATTTGGCAAAAGGAACATAACAAGACTGTATCAGCGATCGTTCTTTCTCAAGGAAGGCGGGTCCTTTTGCTTTCCGAATTTACCGATATTCTGTCTGAATTTCTGCTCTACATTTTCCCACTTGAAATAAGAAACAAATGAGTAACGTTATGTATAATACATTTCGATACATAATTACCCTATAATTATGCTCTTTCACATAACAAAGACCCAGGACTAATCCAAATGTTATTACAAATATATAAACTCTGTCTGATAAGCTACTAAAGTACCTTTCATTTGTACATCAATCCTTCAATCCCATTAAACAATCAAATATCCATATCAATTTTCATATCATTCAGAGAGGTGACCATCTCTTTCCCAACACATAGCTCATAATGTGAAAATAAAAGGACATTAAATAACACTGATTGCCAGTTTAAGTCTGAATGTTTTAAAAAAAAACAAGTTTCTGACTTCAAATGATATGACATTTACGTTTGAAACCTTCAACAAATGTTGTTACCTACGTTACTGTTGATAACGTATGTATCAGTAACTTTAGCATGCCTTGATCAAAAACTGGACCACCAAATGATGCCCTTAGCATTGCTTTCCTGTTTGTTATGATGGTAGTTAAAACACATGATGACAATTTGAAAGAATTACACTTTGTAACATGTTTAACATGACGTCTTTAATTATGCATGGTATCACCTGAATTTTAAACAACATTACCTCATAAAACTGATGTGGTTTCTCTCTCAAAATGTGTCTGCTGTTCGATGACTGTCGCCACATAAAGTAGGTATAGCCAAAACATAATCATATTGTTTCGGAACACTTAATTCCGTACTTTCTAGTAACGTATGTAACGGTTACATATGTATATTTTCAATGGTTTTCATTTTCATTTTTGCAAATCTATACACACTACTGATCGTGATATGAGCTATACTATAGTTAAAACCTGTCGTAATTAACTAGGTAAATGTTTTGAGTATAAATAATTGATACTGTACTTCACTTAAGCCAGAAAGGTACGCTGCTACACTGTCATCCAGAAAAACACAACTTATGTATCCAAAGTTTGGCGACAAAATTTCAACACTCTTTAACTATTCCGATTTGGATGGTTTGCCTTCTTATTCTCATTTGAAAGCAGCGTAATAAGTACATTGTTCTTTAAATATTCAATCTGAAACCCAAACTGCAAAATCAAAATGACAGTAATAATTTAAGTGAATCGTCTCCGACATGGCGACAGTAACGTACGTATCTTTTTGCCAACTTTGACTTTTCCTGCAATGCCAGTATAAGGACAGATGACCCGAAACAGTGTTTATTGGCTAGGGCAAGTATAAGACTTTGTGAATAATGCAAATACTGGGCACAATATTTGTTGGATTATGAACAAATGGCTGGCGACATCAATTGCACCTCATTAGTGAGAATAGGTGTATAGCGCCCCCGCTGTCTCTCTATAGCACTGCTTGCCCCACGCTCCACTGCTATCCAGTCAGACTTCTAGAGGCAAACAACTGTTCCGATCCTTGGGTTAGGGTTTAGCTACATTTAGATTGAAAATGGATTTCAGTGAAATGAGAGATTCCGAACCTGGGGAAAATCTAGACTTGGGTTATATTGAGTTACAATATAATTGGTTGGGAAGAAGAGAAAATAATATGATTCAGGGACCCAGATAGCATTCAGACGTTGGCCCAACATTGGCAATGGTTTGGCCAACATTGCCAACGTTGGGCCAACGTCCGAATGCTATCTGGGGACTGTGAGACTACAGCTTGTTCAGCTTGACCTGATCAAGTGAATACTAATGCATTGTGTGACCGTGTCACAACTGGTTTGGTCTATTATTGTGAAGGGGTGCATCTTTGTCAGTTTATTGTCAACATAGTCAGCCGAGACAAGGTCGCCGTTTGACATCTCTGTGTCGAAAAATCGTCAGCAATGTCCTAACTTTCTTAAAAAAGAAGCTACAGATGGTTTATTGTTTCCGAATGGGGCTGTAATGAATCCATGTGTGCATGTGTGAATGCAACATTAATAACATTCTCTGCTCCCCTATTTAATGAAGTTAACTCGACCAGCCGTTTGTGCCATTTGACCTCCCGGCATGCATATGTAGAGTAGCTCAGGTCAAGCTGAACAAGCTGTACTAAGTCAATTTATGGTTGTTATAATCTTGCGATGTTATAATGAAATGAAATAAAAAATACAACTTCATACTTTGTTTTGTGTATGGTGCTCAGAAATCAGTACCCGTTTTCGCCAATATGGTGCTGTTTTTGCCAAACAAATTTGGTGCCGTTTTGTTGTGGTGCCGTTTTAGCTATAATCCAAAATGCCACATCAGCATAGCATCAATGATTTCATCATGCGATAATAGTTACTGAAGCTGAATTGAAAATGACACCTTGTTTTGATCATGTTGATAGTAACAATAATTATTAGATCTGTTGGTGTGATAATATGTATGCGTTATTCACAATCAGTGTCAGTGATTAATGTGCAGTAGATCCAAGTGTAAACACAATATAAAGCAAACTGTGTTGTTTGTTTCTTAAGACAAAGAAAAACAAATAACCCACAGAAGCTGTTGGCAAGATTCCATTTTAGCTTGTAGGTGCAGTTTTCACTTGGTGCTGTTTTGATGAGCATGAAGAGAGCCATTTTAGCTCTGGCTAGGGTCTGATTATCAAAGACAGCATGCACAAACTCTGCTTTTGATCAGTGGAGATCCTGCAGGTAGCAGCATTTGACAACGAGAAGTCTAGAACCATGTGTACATTTTCACAGGGGCTTGTATTGCTGAAAATAATATGTCCTAGGTCCAACACTTGTTCATCAGATGGCTTTCAGAGAAACGACTGTTGGATCTAGGACATATTATTTTCAACAATACAAACACCTGTGTGCATTTTGCTCACCAGATTCACTTACTTATTGTATCTATTGATGATTATTGCAGGTGGAAGGAGGTGACTCCAGGTGTGTGGACAGGTGTGATTGGACACCAGGTATGGAGACTGAAGCAGGATGCATCAAAAGTTTATTACCAGGTGTTCACTCGGCAAATCAAACCTGATGCATGCAAATCTGACCAAAGCCTCCAAACACAGATAAAATCTGAATCCAAAGAGAGCCTCCACCTTTCTGTAAAATCAGATGAACAAAGAATCAAAGTGGAGTGCCCTGGTGAAATGGGTGACAGTGATTGGGATATAAGTATAAATACAAACAATATGCATAAGATTAAAGTGAAGGAGGAACCACTCTTCAGCTCTGAGAATGTTTATGAAAGTATTCTCTGTGATTATTTTCAGTTGAGTGTCAACCTTGGAAAACTTTACAAATCATGGTCAGCAGCTGATCAAAATTTCAAAAAAATATCATCTTCGTTTCAAGGAATCCGAATGTTACGCCAAGATCCAGTTGAAAATTTGTTCTCCTTTATCTGTTCCTCCAACAACCATATCAGTCGGATCAGCTCCATGGTCGAGAAGCTGTGTGATCAGTATGGTGCTGAGATTACAGAGGTTGATGGGAAATTGCATCATTCCTTCCCACAAGTCTCAGCACTAGCTGCTCCTGGAGTCGAGGCAAAGTTGCGGGAGCTCGGGTTTGGGTACAGGGCTAAGTACATCAATGTGACGGCAAAGTACATATGTGACAACCATTCTGAGGAATGGCTCTACTCCCTGAGGAATATGCCGTACGAGGATGCGAAGAGAGAACTGATGAAGCTGTGTGGTGTCGGAGCCAAGGTGAGACACACACACAGTCGGTTGTTATGTCAGTCAGGGGCACCTGCAGTGGCTGTAATACAATAGAAAATATGTTTGGTCAGTGCTTAAAAAAGTAAAATGTTATCTGGAACATCCAATTTACCAATTTTTATAAATATCGTTTTGACAAAACTATGTCCTATGCTTCCCCTGGAAAGTCAAATACACATATAGGCCAAATAAAAAAATGTTGTGGTTCCAATTACACCTCTTTAAAATTTAGGGTACATAGGTTGGATTTTTTTTTTACATTTTTTTAAGAAGTAAAGTACAAACTAATTACACATTTATCAATGTGTAATTGTTTATTCAATCAAGCTTGCGGCCATCATGTTGACTTTTTGTATTAGAATGACCGATGTCCGTCTGTGCCGGGGAAAAAAAATGGTATCCGAACACTTATTTTATTCATACAGCTTAAAAAAAATAAGAATTCCAGAATTCAAGGGTCGGTCGGGTAATCGTAACCACAACATTATTTTTTTTAGGCCATACTAAACATTTTAGAGGACCCCAGGATGTGCATAGTTTTGAAAGCTGAACAAGATGAAACATAATGTGTTGAGGCTGCAAACTGCATATTTCTGAAATCTGTTTGTTAAATATTGTGTACATAAATGACTGTGTTATCTGTTGTGTAATTTATGTATTATGAACATGATAAATGTCTGTGCATACGGAGATATGACATCTGTCTATAGTGTAGGTTTCTTAAGTTGCATTCTACATATGTCGGATGTCTGATGTCCATCTATGTCCATCTATGTGTATGTATTTTAGGTTATCTATGTCGTTATGTACTACATATGTCTAATGACTATACATGGTGTATGTATTTTAGGTTGCTGATTGTGTTTGTCTGATGTCCATGGACAAGCCAGGATCAATCCATCTATATGTAGATACACACGTGTCTAATGACTGTACATGGATCGCAGCTGTCGGACACTACATCCCATAAACTACAGCACAAGCAAGTAGATACGCTGGCATCGATAAACTCTACAAGGAAATAGGTAACCCGGCACATGCAAAATTTGTTGTGTTCATTTCATGAATTTGTTGGTTTTGACTTATACTTATGTAAACATGTAAAAGTTGGGGAGACAAACCTCCAAATATACATGTGTCCAGATATATATATGAACATAGGGAGCATGATGAAGGTTTATTATTACAAAATTGCTTTGATTTTGCACGAGATGATTAATATACCCATTTGGTTTATTTTATTTGGAACAAGAAGAAAATGCAGCTTTAATATAAGCAATATAAAGTTTGTTATGTTGTTTGACATGATATCATTAAAGAAAAACAACAACATGTTTCGTCTCTTTTCATATCGTGTCTAGATCTTCAATTATGATTCAGCTGGCATTTCTTTTACAGGGGACTCCTTCAGGGCTCTGTGGGGAGTATGCTGGCTGGGCACACTCATACTAAGTTCACCTCACGATGATGGTTATAGGGGATGTATTCATTCTCGCACAAAGGGGAGTATGCTGAGTATGCTGACTGGGCACACTAGGTGAGTTCACCATGGTTACATGTGGATACCTTCTTGGCACAAGGGGAGTATGCTGGCTGGGCACACTAGGTGAGATCACCATGGTTACATGGGATGTCTTCAGGGCACAAGGGGGAGTATGCTGGCTGGGCACACTAGGTGAGATCACCATGGTTACATGGGATGTCTTCAGGGCACAAGGGGGAGTATGCTGACTGGGCACACTAGGTGAGATCACCATGGTTACAGGGATGCCTTCAAGGCTCTGTGGGGGTGGGTGGCAAGTATGTTGTCTGGGCACACGCAATTTCTTACACATGCTCATCCTTGTCATATGTTTGGAAGAGTGCTGAAACCATTATTGTCCTTGTAACAGAAACAATGAACCACATTTATCCTGATTAACACTGCAGTGTTGTATGAATTCTCATAGAATCTGATACCAAGTGGAGCGTAAAAGGAGATTCATATATTATCATTGTCGTACCGGATGTATAGCATTTGTGCCCGCAGAATCATTATTGGTCCAAATGTCTAACTCATTCCAATTCACTGTGCAGAGTTATGTCCCTTGGACACAACTGGTTGTGGTTTTATAGGGCTGTAACGATGCATCGAACTATCGATGGATTGCAACTGTTGAGTCTCAGATAGCAATTAATTCATGGTAAAGACGAAAAACTATCGATATGCATCGATAGTATGTGTGACTATCGATAGTTTAGTTATTCACTTTCGTTGTTAAATGTACCAGATTTGTTCACTTTGAGACAGCTTCATTGAGTTTATGCTTATAACTGTTTACTTGATCTGGGTTTCAAGTTTCTTGTCAGTTATCAAAAGAGACTGAAACTACTTCAACTTGTTTTTATTCCATATAAATTATGCATTCAGTTTGGAAATAACCTCAAATGAGACAATTCAAGGTCGCAATAGACAATCGCTATCGCAATAGTTGTTTCCCCTCAATAGTTTTACATCCCAGATAACCTTGATTCTGTTTCCAGATTTCTTAAAACCATACCCATGCTTGTGGTTTTTTAAAAATTAAATGTCTGAAACCTGCATTACTTGAGGTGTCCTTGAGCTGACACGCTATGATGCCAACCTGGAATACTGTTCTAAGCAGCAGTATACCCAACTCACTCACTCACTCTCTGTCTACAGGTGCTGTTTGCTGCTGATCTGAAGCACTTTAAAGACGTCAGCAAGACTGAGGTGAGTTTGTTGAGCAGGTATAGTGACAGCACTTTGGGCAGTCATTATTTGAGATGAGTGGCATCTCTCTTCTTTGTTGTTTAAGGCCACACTGTGTGATGACGGTCTGTTAATAATCAAGTGTGGATCAGATAATCCAGTGATTAACATCATGAGCATCAATCTACTTGTGGGATCAATGACATGCATCAACCAAGTCAGCGAGCTTGAACACTAGATCCTGTTGGTCACCTCTTAAAACAATCATGGGTTGCTGAAAACCATTCTAACCTGGATATTCACAGGTGTGTAGACTTGGCAAACATGAAGACTGTCAGATGTGTTACCTGGGAATCTTATGTACAGCCAGAAAACATTCCCTCACGCCAGATGTTTAGTTTGAGAAAACTTTTATGTTTGAGCAGCTAACACAGTGTGTAGTGACAAGGCTTCAGGGATATAGAGATTATTAACTGAGTGTGTTTCCGTATCATTAATATCATATATTAGGAATAAAACTTGTATTATGCGTGCCTTTGGCGAGCATAATATATAATTTTTTATTCCTAATATATGATATTAATAATAATGGAAACACACCTCGAAATTAATAATCTCTTTATCATATATTGTCATTCTTAAAATTACTCTAAAAAAACAGAAGCAATAAATCATACATAAATTTATATGAAGAGAATCGAGCATTCGCGTAAGAATACTTAGCGGTATTCCAAGGTGAAGGTCGTTCATGACTGCACCATATGGTTGTGACTAGTCACTTATACAGTGCAAACATAACTCATGCTTAAAACAAGATCTTTCTGTCTAAAAAACAACAACAAAATCAGGCAGGGCTTTCCTGGTAGTGTTTCCATATTCATTGCGGGTAATCACCTCATCAATATCAGTTTCTGATACCTGACGGAATCGATCCATCGTCTGTATTGTGATCGATAGATCAAAATCCTCGGTTGGTACCTTTCTTAGACGATTGCCTTTCAGTCTTCGTCAAGGCGTGCCTCATAATCCCTACCTTCAATTTGAACGAAGTACTCTGTTTCATGTTTTCCAAAGTCAATTACTGCAGTAACGACTCCAGAACCTCTGTCATCAATTCTTACAGAATCACCAATTTTGAGAATGAGGGCAGCCATGTTTGTTTACAAACAATGTAAACTCGCGACGACGTGATGAATGAAATGTTAAAACGTGTATGGAGTTTTGTGAAAGTAGTTCGTGGATTGATGTAATTTGCATAGTTAACAGATTTGGATACCAAGTTTATCAGATTGCTTTATTGCACTGATAACACCCTCCATTAGATGATAAATTCAATTATCCACATTGCTTATCCATATCAATAGCCTGTGCCAACTCTGATTGGTCCCCTACAGTCTATGCATCTTGGATCAGGTTATCAATCTTGCTGACTTGATTGATTGTGGTCCGCTCATCATGCTGAAGACCTGGGTTCGATTCCCCATGTGGGTACAATGTGTGAAATCCATTTCTGGTGTCCGCTGCCATGATATTGCTGTATTATTGCTAAAAGCTGCGTAAAACCCAACTCACTCACTGATTAATTGTGTGTCATCGAAAACTGACGACGTGGATCCTTGCTCAGATCAATCACTGAATTGTCTGATCCATGTCCAGTCTTTACAAGCCACAGTCTTATAGCTTGAATATGGCTGACATTGGGTGTTAAACCCCCAAACACATCTCTAAATACGCTGCCATATAGCTGGAATATTGCTGAGTGCAGCATAAAACTAAACTCACTCACTCTCTGCTCCGGTCCGCTTTTGAGCCAAACGGACTATAAGAAATAAGCTGAAATCGGAAAGTTCAGAAGCCCTGTCTTTTTCTTTTATATATCGTCGCAGAAATTATATTTTTGAGTGCTGAGATAAAATTATTAATGTCTACCATCCTTAATCCTCCATCCTCATAGTCTCTTATTAAAGTAGTTCTCTTGATTTTATCCTGCTTACCATCCCAAATAAAGTTGAACAGGATGTTATTGAGGTTGTTTACAAATTCTTTTGGTGGATTTTGTAAGGCAGAGAATATATGAACTAATGCGGACAGTATCAATGATTTTATTACAGTAATTTTACCTATTCAGGTCAACTTTCTTCTCCTTCAGTTTGCCAGTAGTTTATGTATTGATTGTAGTCTTTTCCTAGTATGTATGACCCAGAGATTGTCCAACTGTAAATTTAAAGTAATTCCCAACACTTCGAAGTCAGATTTTATCCAATTTAATTTTCTATCTTCACATAGTGTTGCATTAGAGTCTGCCTTGGATCCTAGCCATATTGCTTTGGTCTTCACAATATTCACCTGAAGTCCAGAAATTTGGTGAAAAGTGTCCAGTGTATCTAGAGCACTCTTCAAGCTATTGTCAGATCCATCAAGGAAAAGTTGTGTATCGTCAGCGTATTGATCTAATTTAGGTTCTTTATTATCTATTTTCTCTGATCATAATTCCAAGTACCTCTGCAACAAAGAGAAAGAGATATGGGGACACTGCATCGCCCTGACGATATCCCGGGCCGTTTTGAAAAAAAGAGGACAGGAGGCCATTTTGAATTACACATGAGTTAGCGTTGTTAGTGAGGATTCTAATCCATTTTATAATTTTTGGCCCCAAACCGAATTTCTTAACACTTTGAATATAAATTGTTTTGAAACAGTATCAAATGCTTTTTCAAAATCTATTAGAATTAACAGGCCCGGTCTATCCTCTTTTTTCAGCTCATATATTATGTCATACAGGTTTCTAATATTATCAGTAGTACATCGCCCAGGTATGAATCCTGTTTGATTTCCATCAATGAGATACTGGAGTATGGTGATACACGTAAATAATGTTTGATTGTTGTTTATTCCATTTGTATAGGTAAAGAAAATATCATTAAGTTCACCAAAAGGTCCACGTAAATAATGTTTAATTGTTGTTTATTCCATTTGTACAGGTAAAGAAAATATCATTAAGTCCACCAAAAAGAGCAGCACAGGCAAGAACCAACAACACATCAGCTAAACGGTCGAAGAAAAAATGACTTCGGACTTCCCGATTCACCTCTTGCTGGCGATGAAAGACCTTCCCCGGCTTCAAGAAGTCCATCTGTTAGAGATCATTTCAGCCCTGTGCATCTTCACAGAGGAGCCACCTCAATACCTGGAGCTGTACTTCCCATCGATCGTATGAGGTTGAATACTCCTCTCTTTCAACTCTGCTGCCTCACTTACAATCACACCGTACTTATAACTGTGAGTTCGATTCCCCACATGGGTACAATGTGTGAAGCCCATTTCTGGTGTTCCCCGCTGTGATATTGCTCGAAATTGGAATAAGCGGCGTATTACTAAACTCACTCACTCACTATAACTATGAAATAGCAGTTATCCAAGGGATGTAACTCTCCATTGACTTATGTGGACCTGCACAGCATGTTCAAATATAGCAGTTATGTGATGTGAGAAACATGGCTGGAATCTGGTGCATCAGAACAGGATGATTATTGTCATCATCTGATTGTTGGGATGTGAAGGAGCCAAATCCAGGGGAGGTAACTCTCCAAGGACTTAATTAGATGTCATGGAGGCTGATGTTCATTTAATAACCAAATCAACTTTGGCACAGATGAAGATAGATTTTTTAATGCTATCTTCTCTTTGTATAGGGAGTCATAGTGATACAGTGCACAGGTCTCATCTTCCACAAGCCTACCACCAATGAAATGACCTAAATCTCTGTATATCTGAGATTTTCATCTCTTTTAAGAGTTGTTTGGTTGTTGCTGCACTCAGCAATATTCCAGCCATATAAAAACAGTCTGTAAATAATCAAGTCTGGAACAGACAAACCAGTGATCAACATCATGAGCATCGATCTATTGGCATACGATGACATGTGTCAACCAAGTAAGCTAGTCTGACCACTTACGTCAGTCGCCTCTTACGACAAGCATTGGTTGCTGAAAACCAATTCTAACCTGGATCTTCACAGGTTTCACTTTTAAAAGATTATGTACATCCAGCGTGATGATGTCCACTAGGCATCCACTAGGCATCCCCTCCGCCCCACCATGAAGCGTGATGAGAGGAACGATTCCAAGAACAGTAACATGGACTGCTCTCTCCAATAAATAGGATTCTACCATGACTTCAGTTAATACTGGATTGTGATTGGTTAATCAAAGTCATTCAGAGGTATATAATCACGTTATATACCTCTGATTTTCCAACACAGTATGTATGTTTGCAAAATCTTAATAACACGGTTATGGTAGAATGGAGATAAACGTACTGTGTTGGAAAATCAGAGGTATATAACGAAATGATAATAGCTCTAATTTTTTTTATTTAAAACCTAACGCTACGCGTTCGGGTATTAAATCAAATTTAGAGCTAATATTATTTCGTTATATACCTCTGGTTTCTAACACAGTATGTTTATCTCCTAATTATTATCAGAATGAAACTAATGAAGACGAACTATATAGCTAGTGTGTTCAAACTTCATTTGTTGTTTTGTAAAGAAACAAAGCAGTCAAAACTTCTTAATTTATTGCAATAGTTGCGACGTGAAGATGCTAACATCGTTATGAAGCACGTGATACACAGAATTATACACAAAGAGAATATATACATGAAGGATATTTCACTTTATACAACTGAATAGACTGATACGCAGTATGATGACATTACTTTGTTATGTGTTAGTTATTGTGATGATAGATTATGGCTATAAAGTTCAATGGACAAAGGGTAGGGAAGGGTTATTCTTGGTTAGCCTCCATTAGATGGTGATAGGCTCTAGGTATGTAATAACCTTGATCTCTGTTGATTGTTGGGTTGAGTCGAACATAAAGAATTTCCTGGATTTAATCATCTGTTTATTCTTTGATACAGCATTTCGGGTCTTGTTCCGACCCCATCATCATCGGGTTGTGTCGTTTGATGTTGATTGCCTCTAAGAGTTTTCTTATCTGGTTGGCTTGAAGGATGTTGATGTTGTTCCAAAGGATGGTATGATTCGGATGGGCTTGGGTGTGGTCGGAAATGGCTGATTTAGGGCCTTGTTTCCTCACCACTGCCTGATGTTCCCTGATTCTCATGTTTAGGGGACGGGGCATTTCACCTCCGTACCTACTTACTAGTCATCTCATTTCTAAGTAGGTGGAATCGGATGCGGGTGCAGGGATGGATGAGGCGGATAATGCTGTCTACGGGGAGGTGGGTGTCTACGGAATGTGATGACTTGTACGTGTCATAGCTGATGGGTACCAAATCGAGGTTGACATAGGTGACATAAGGTATCATATGATGATGGGTACCATGTGAAGGTTGCCACAGGTGGTGTAAGTTATCATATGATGATGGGTACCATGTGAAGGTTGACAGGTGGTGCAAGTTATCATTTGATGATGGGTACCACGTCAAGATTAACACAGGTGGTGTAAGGTATCATATGATGATGGGTACCATGTGAAGGTTGACAGGTGGTGCAAGTTATATGATGATGGGTACCATATGAAGGTTGACACAGGTGGTGTAAGTTATAATTTGATGATGGGTACCAAGTGAAGGTTGACACAGGTGGTGTAAGTTATCATATGATGGGTAACATGTGAAGGTTGACAGGTGGTGCAAGTTATCTTATGATGATGGGTACCATGTGAAGGTTAACACAGATGGTGTAAGTTATCATTTGATGATGGGTACCATGTGAAGGTTGACACAGGTGGTGTAAGTTATCATATAATGATGGGTACCATGTGAAGGTTGACACAGGTGGTGTAAGTTATCATATGATGATGGGGTACCGTGTGAAGGTTGACAGGTGGTGTAAGGTATCATATGATGATTGGTACCATGTGAAGGTTGACACAGGTGGTGTAAGGTATCATATGATGATGGGTAACATGTGAGTGTTGACGCAGGTGGTGTAAGTTATCATTTGATGATGGGTACCATGTGAAGGTTGACACAGGTGGTGTAAGGTATCATATGATGATGGGTACCATGTGAAGGTTGACACAGGTGGTGTAAGGTATCATATGATGATGGGTAACATGTGAATGTTGACACAGGTGGTGTAAGTTATCATTTGATGATGGGTACCATGTGAAGGTTGACACAGGTGGTGTAAGGTATCATATGATGATGGGTAACATGTGAAGGTTGACGCAGGTGGTGTAAGTTATCATATGATGATTGGAACCACGTCGAGATTGACAGAGGTGGTGTAAGGTACATATTGTATCATATGATGATGGATAAAATGTGAAGGTTGACACAGGTGGTGTAAGTTATCATATGATGATGGGTACCATGTGAAGGTTGACACAGGTGGTGTAAGTTATCATATGATGGGTAACATGTGAAGGTTGACAGGTGGTGCAAGTTATCATATGATGATGGGTACCATGTGAAGGTTAACACAGATGGTGTAAGTTATCATTTGATGATGGGTACCATGTGAAGGTTGACACAGGTGGTGTAAGTTATCATATAATGATTGGTACCATGTGAAGGTTGACACAGGTGGTGTATGTTATCATATGATGGGTAACGTGAAGGTTGACAGGTGGTGTAAGGTATCATATGATGATGGGTACCATGTGAAGGTTGACACAGGTGGTGTAAGGTATATGATGATGGGTAACATGTGAAGGTTGACGCAGGTGGTGTAAGTTATCATTTGATGATGGGTACCAAGTGAAGGTTGACACAGGTGGTGTAAGGTATCATATGATGATGGGTACCATGTGAAGGTTGACGCAGGTGGTGTAAGTTATCATATGATGATGGGAACCACGTCGAGATTGACAGAGGTGGTGTAAGGTATCATATGATAATGGATAAAATGTGAAGGTTGACACAGGCAGGGTAAGGGTATCATATGATGATGGGTACCATGTGAAGGTTGACACAGGCGGCGTAAGGGTATCATATGATGATGGGTACCATGTCAAGATTGACACAGGTGGTGCAAGTTATCATTTGATGACGGGTACCATGTCAAGATTGACACAGGTGGTGTAAGGTATCATCTGATGACAGGTACCATGTGAAGGTTGACAAGTGGTGTAAGGTATGATATGATGATGGGTACCACGTCAAGATGGACACAGGTGGTGTAAGGTATCATATGATGATGGGTACCATGTGAAGGTTGACACAGGTGGTGTAAGGTATCATATGATGATGGGTACCACGTCAAGATTGACACAGGTGGTGTAAGGTATCATATGATGATGGGTACCATGTGAAGGTTGACACACGTAGCTTAAGGATTCATATAGTGATGTGTAACATGTGAAGGCTGTATGTATGATATACTGGTGGTACCATGTCGTTGATGTAATCCATGTGTGACTAGTGATGGTGAGTTTCAGCGTCTTTGGGGAACGGCTCCTAAAGTTGCGATCCGAATACTGAAAAATACAGACACACATATAGCATAGAACATAATATCTCAGACATCCTACACGTACATCATATATGCACTGCAACTAGATTTTCATCTTCGAGTTAATGAGTGAGTGAGTGAATCTAGTGTCAGGTCGCATTAAGCACTATTACAGGAATATCAGGACGGGGGACACCAGGAGTGGGCTTCTCATGTTGTACCCATGCGGTGAATCGTACCAGGGTCTTCGGTGTGTCAAGAAAACGCTTTTTACCAATAGTCTTAACCGCTGACAGACTAGTGCTGATACAACAAAAGGTAATACTTAAGTAATGAGGACCGGGATGTTACAGTATATACTAGGCACATAAAGAAACTGTGCATACAAAAATTTATAATTTAAATTTATCAAACCTGTGTAGACACATAAGGATTTAAACTCTGTTTACAAGCCAAATAACCTTTCCCAGATTCCCAAATAAGTTCAAATAGGTTATATTGTGATTGATTTGTTTACATTAATATATACAGACAAATAAGGTGCATGAAGTAGTAGACGGGAAATATTTTTTCTGCTTTGTTCATTAAAAGGTAGAGTTTTCACATTATTGATTTAACTAAATTTGAACAAAGGATAAAATAGATCTCTTACAGCAGCGCGGTGTAGACAATCTATTTATAGATACAAACACGATCTGCAACTTGAACATGTGGTTGTGTTCACGGTTTTTATAAAATTACGATGGGAATCTTTGAGAGAGAAAAAACAAACACCATAATTCAGTTACCCTTCCCATGCTAATATCTTAAACGGACGTGAAATGCCAGATACATTATTTGTTTCGAAAGAAAATACGCTTCCCACTCTGAGCAGCTGGCCGAGTCAAGATTTTTTTCATCGGGCATGTAACTCATTTTCACTTGCCAATTGCAATCTGTCAAGTAAAATATATTAAAAATAAAATACGTATAACTTTCCTCTTTAAATATCATTCAAAACGGCGGATACCAAAGTACCACAAGCAGAATTCATTGTTCAACGTTCGCAATCACGTATGTTTCGCCGGCGGTGACGCCATTGTGATTAGTCAGTGGTTGTCCCCCCTAACGTCAAAATCGAAGTGGGCGGGGCTTATCGGCCGGGACTGAATAGGTCCATATTGTTTAATCAATCACCGGTTTGGTCAGGATATTTTCTCCGCGTCGTTAATAATGGGTCAAGCTATTGGGAACACTATTTCCTAAAAGTTGTAAAATCTTCGCTTTTGTTTGAAATATATACAACTGAATGTTTTACAAACTTTGTTAACAGTTTGGAAAAACATCATCATGTCGTTGAAGTGTCATAACGTTCTTTAACGTCCGATACATTCTGTTACAAATGGCCCATTTTTTATCCAGATTGTCAATATTGAAATCCACCTGCCACTTAATGTCAATAATTTGCACTTGCAAGTCACTCTATCCATGGAAAGTGGAGGACAATATACATGCATCAATGCTTTTGTCACTGGCGTTTACTGTTCAGGTACCTATTTGAAATCGCAGGTTAAAATGAGATGTTTTTTGTCACTTGCTGAAAGGCGTCAGGATATAGGCCTTTTGAAATCTGGTCAAACTCCGCGGCAGGTTGCTGTCCGCTTAAATGTGAGTCAGAGTGCTATAGCTATCGGTAGACTGTGGCAGATATTTCAAGCCAATGGGTCCGTGGAATATGCACGTTGACCAGGTCGCCCCAGAGTCACAACAGTCCGAGATGATAGGAACATGATTTACGTAACAGATTCCTTAACCCAACAGATCTTCAGACAGAACACTTCAATGCTAATAATGTAAAGATATCAAGGAGCACCGTTCGTCGATGTTTAAGGGCAGCCGGACTCCGCTGTAGGCGACCTGCAGTTCGTCCATCACTAACACCACGTCAGAGGCAGGCGCGTTTGAGATGAAGTAGGCATCATGACCGCTGAAATCAACGTTAATGGCCTCGTGTGCTCTTCACAGATGAAGGCAGATTCAAACTGTACTTCCATGATGGTCGGCAGAGGATTTATCGTCGCAATGGAGAGCGAACCACAGATGCAGCTGTGACCACGCATAACCGATTCGGCGGGGGTTGGTCATGGTTTGGGCGGGGATAACTCCTACTGGACGTATCTCACCTTTTTCACTGAGGCCTTTGCCGTAGTTCATGGAGACAAGGTAGATGAGGATAATGACGATGATCCGAACTACGACTGCGAGTAAGCCTGTCGCGATAGAGCACGGCGCTAGAGCTGGGAACAGTGTCAGATGTGTAGACGCCTGCAGGTAGACAAGCCACATAGTCATACATATATGTGAAAGAGTAATTTTACTAACGGGAGTGCCAAGTTATCCCAGATTATTACTGTAGGCCAGTCTATGTCAGTGGTGGGTAAATCAAGGGTAGTACTGAACCCTCCAATGTATTAATAAAGGCAATTACAGCGTATTACTGTAGGCCATTCTATGTCAGTGGTGGGTAAATCAAGGGTAGTACTGAATCCGCCAATGTATTAATGAAGGCAATTACAGCGTATTACTGTAGGCCATTCTATGTCAGTGGTGGGTAAATCGAGGGTAGTAATGAATCCTCCAATGTGAATCCTCCAATGTATTAATGAAGGCAATTACAGCGTATTACTTTAGGCCATTATTACTATGTCAGTGGTGGGTAAATCGAGGGTAGTACTGAATCCTCCATGTATTAATGAAGGCAATTACAGCGTATTACTTTAGGCCATTCTATGTCAGTGGTGGGTAAATCAAGGGTAGTACTGAACCCTCCAATGTATTAATGAAGGCAATTACAACGTATTACTGTAGGCCATTCTATGTCAGTGGTGGGTAAATCGAGGGTAGTACTGAATCCTCCAATGTATTAATGAAGGCAATTACAGCGTATTACTGTAGGCCATTCTATGTCAGTGGTGGGTAAATCGAGGGTAGTACTGAATCCTCCAATGTATTAATGAAGGCAATTACAGCGTTTTAATGTAGGCCATTATATGTCAGTGGTGGGTAAATCGAGGGTAGTACTGAATCCTCCAATGTATTAATGAAGGCAATTACAGCGTATTACTGTAGGCCATTCTATGTCAGTGGTGGGTAAATCGAGGGTAGTACTGAATCCTCCAATGTATTAATGAAGGCAATTACAGCGTATTACTGTAGGCCATTCTATGTCAGTGGTGGGTAAATCGAGGGTAGTACTGAATCCTCCAATGTATTAATGAAGGCAATTACAGCGTATTACTGTAGGCCATTATATGTCAGTGGTGGGTAAATCGAGGGTAGTACTGAATCCTCCAATGTATTAATGAAGGCAATTACAGCGTATTACTGTAGGCCATTCTATGTCAGTGGTGGGTAAATCGAGGGTAGTACTGAATCCTCCAATGTATTAATGAAGGCAATTACAGCGTATTACTGTAGGCCATTCTATGTCAGTGGTAGGTAATTCTATTTCTTACACACCCGTGGTTGAGAAACCCATGTGAGAAAACTGGTATCAAACATATGTGTGAGATCGATTTCTAATCCCGTGATTGGCTACTCCATGGTGATGACCTAGAGTCAGGTTATGACGGACTACTTTCCTGATTAAAATTCATTGATAAGTTACTTGTGCTTCAATCGAACAGAAACATGTTACTCGTGACAAACACCTTAACACCTACCTGTTATTTTCCCGATTGCAACATAAACAGGTATTTATACAATAAAACACAATTAGAATAAATTATTTAAATTATATATATAGTTATTTTCTGATTCCTTTTTTTAAAAACTTTTGACTCTAGTCATCAATTCAAATGGCTCGAACAATCCGTGATACCTGTGTAAACAATTATGTGAATATCGCCGTTAGAGATAAAGGCCGAGATTCCCTTCGAATATTCAAAATGTACAACATTGGTACTTTTGTTGGAGAGATGCGACAAGTGTCATGCATCGTCTTACAAAATATCTGACACAACTTTAGTGCCTGTCCATTGTGAGATCGATTTTGCTCGTTAAATACGTTTTGAAACAACTCGTTGTAAGATAAATGGTATCTCACAGACTCGTTTAGTAATCTCTATGTATTCATGGAAGCTAATCCTGCGTATTAATGTCGGTCGTTCTATGGTTGGTTCATGTAGGTAGTCCTATCGCAGTAACTAGTTAACATTCTGTTAGTATGAGACCATCTTTGTGCTAGATCATTCTATTTTAGTACTGTTTTATAGCACTGCTAGGTTTCTTAATGTGAGTACAAGGTTAATCAGCGGTACCTGTAGGTCATTCCGTACCAGTACGAGATCATTTAAAAATCTGTTGTAAACTTAATTTTCTGTAGCAATATCAACTTTAATATAGGAATAATTACCATATTTGGGGCAGCGTGTACTATTTTCTCTAGTGTAGGTGCTTCATTTATAATTAGTGTTTTCTACTTAAATCAAGGTATATCTACTTTATTCTAGGTTACTACTACTATTTCTAGAATATATCTACTTAATTCTAAGGTGTAACTACTTTAATCTAGGTATATCTACTTTATTCTAAGATATATCTACTTTATTCTCAGGCATAACAACTTTAATCTGGGCATATATACTTTTTTTGGGGTACTACTATTCATTCCGTGGTATATTATTCTATTCTAAGTGTAACAACTTTGATCTAGGTATATCTGCTTTATTTTTGGGTACTCCTATTCATTCTGTGGTGTACTAGTATCTACTTTATTCTAAGTTGAACAACTTTGATCTAGGTATATGTACTATATTCTTGGCTACTCCTATTCATTCTGTGGTGTATCTACTTTATTCTAAGTTGAACAACTTTGATCTAGGTATATCTGCTTTATTTTTGGGTACTCCTATTCATTCTGTGGTGTATCTACTATATTCTAAGTTGAACAACTTTGATCTAGGTATATGTACTATATTCTTGGGTACTACTATTCATTCTAGAGTATATGTGCTTCATCTATTGTTAGGGTTATCTGCTCATTTCTAAGGTATAACTACTGTATGTTAGTGTGTATTTACCATATTCCCGGACCTTTCCACAGTGTACGTTGTGAGATGTAAATATGAGACGGATGGTGCCTTGCGACACCCGTGCATCGCACACGTGACACGGTGAGCCAAGGTCGGAGTCTCGTTAACGGGTCGTCCGTGCTGAGATTATTTATGCAAACATAATTATTATTTTGAGGACACCTTTTATTATCTTTTTATATGTCCCAACTATAAGAAACAATTTATCTTATTTCAAACATGCATACTTCTTAAATCGTGTGGCATTGTAGTTAAAGATTATAGCCCTAGAACAAAGGCTCACGCTTCAGTGGCTGATGCTAATTACCTGGCTCGCATCTCTCACCTAGCCATAGTGCAATGTTGTCTTAACTATACCTTTTTAGTTAGACTCTGGCTACGTGAAAGTTAACCGATATCATCCTCTTCTTGTCCTCTGTGTTGTGTAGGCGTCACGAATAAATGTTTAGTGTGCCGGCCGGCTTGACTGTTATCCCTTACAACGTCTACTTATATATCAGGGTATATTTACTTCATTCTAGGGTATAACTCCTCTGTTCCGGGGTATATCTAGATTATTCAATGATAAAGCTTCTTTATTCTAGGGTAGAACACCTTTGGTTTAGGTATAGTTTATACATTCCAGGTAGAAACTGCTCTATTTTAGGCTATATTTAGTTTAGGTTGCTAAGTTTACTTTATGTTTTGAGAGATGTATATTTGTTACCAGGATCTGCCAATCCTTCTGACATGTATCCAAGTGCTTACTGGATATAATGCAGTTTTTTTAAATCTTACCATGGCAATTTTATAAATGACATAGCAGAGCTCCAGAGGACTCAGAACCGTGAACAGGTACGTTAAAATCTTGCTCTCGCGGCGCACCTGCAACAAGACAGTTATGATTGTGAGTGAGTGAGTTAAGTTTTACGACACACTCAGCAATATTCCAGCTATTTGGCGGCGGTCTGTAAATAATCGAGTCTGGACCAGACAATCCAGTGATCGACAGCATGAGCATCGATCTGCGTAACTGGGAACCGATGACATGTGCCAACTAAGTCAGCGAGTCTTACAACCCGATCCCGTTAGTCGCCTCTTACGACAAGCATAGTCGCCTTTTATGGCAAGCATGGGTTACTGAAGACATATTCTACCCCGGATCTTCAGGGGTCAGTTATGATTGTGAACACTTCACGTTAAGATGTGGTAACGTTTGATGATAAATATTATATGAGAAAAACACTCTTCAGAAGTGGCAAATATTTCAGTATGCATACCACGTTGGCACTTTGGCTACAACATAATTTTCTGTGAAGACGAACATGACCTATAAACTGTGATTAAATATAGGTCCTGTCATAAAAATTGGGTGTCATTAATAAAGGGTCAAATGATATACAGCACATGTAAAGAAATGTTTCTCAGAAATAATAGAACTAAGAGTGTCATCATAATGTTTAATGTGTTGACAAACGTGACACATCGTGACATACAGAAAAAAGTACCCTCCTCGCGCGTCCAAGGCACAGGTGCACCTTGTTCTCATGCTCCTTATCAAGTTCATAGAAAGCTTGTGAAAACGCAACAGTATAGCTTGACCCTTCATTACTGACGCGGGGCGGTGGGGTAGCCTAGTGGTTAAAGCGTTGGCTCGTCACGCCGAAAACCCGGGTTCGAATCCCAACATGGGTACAATGTGTGAAGCCCATTTCTGGTGTCCCCCGCCGTGATGTTGCTGGAATATTGCTAAAAGCGGCGTAAAACCAAACTCAGTCAGTCAGTCAGTCATTACTGACGCCGAGTATAAAAGTTGGAAAATCTTCGTTTTTGTTTGAAATATATAAAACTGAATGTTTTACAAAAGCTTTTTTTATGAACCTGATAAGGAGCATGAGCACAATGTTCATCTGTGTCTTGGACGCGCGAGGACGGTACACAAGATATTGAATGACCGAGTGCTTCATGTTTGTCATTTTCATTTTGGGGGGTTGGACTATTCAACTGATGATTTCATTCTCTTTGTCACAATGTGTCACGTTTGTCAACACATTAAACATAATGATGGCACTCTTAGTTCTATTATTTCTGAGAAAATTTGCTTTACATGTGCTATACATCATTTGACGTTTTCTTAATGACGCTTAGTACAACGTTGGCACAGGTATGTTACCTGTTTCGATGGACAATTGTTTATTTGGAGAAGTATTTAATGCCTAACATAATTTAACATCGCTTACACACATATGTCCCAAGATGAACCAAGCACCGGATATGACGAGACCGACACACAGAACAACGATGTCAAGAGTCTTGACATTGGGGTCGTTTACATGAGTGAAAAAGGCCAATGTGATCTGAAATAAATAAATGAACAACGATGTGCAGTTAATCATTTACAGCTTCACAGAACAAGCAATTCGTTCTCCAGAACATCGGTTTACTTTGAATAGTAGAGTTACGGGTACTGTAGCTCACCTTGTGCTTTCATATAGGAAGCGGTATAGCTGTAAATTTAACTGTTACATAGTCATATTCCACCAGCCACATACACTAGTTCAACATGTAGTAACAGTATATTGTTATGAGAGTGTTTTTTTGTTTGTTTTTTGTTTGTAATTTGTTATATCATTGACTGAGTAATAGTTATTATGGGTCACAATGTTTAAAGTTTTGAGTGTGGGTTTTGGCCCGCATCTCTCATCATATATGACCAATGGCAATATTATTTGTAGCGGTACGCCTTTTTGGTTGGTTGGTTAGTTTTATAGTTTTAGGGCGACCACGCCTTTTTGATAGCGCTTCAGAGTTGCCTCCCTTGTTTATTTACCGCTTTCATCATGTTGTGTGTTCCACATGATTCAATAACGTTCTGAGACGATTATGATGGAGCCTACCTTTGCTAGAATGCTCGAGAACTATGTAAGAGCTATGTAAAGGCTGGTTGTTGTGTTGTGCGACACAAACTTATCACATCACTGGAGTTATACACAACTGTCTGCCATCGTCAAGCTGTTCAATATTCAAGACTGACTGTGCTCGTCTATATTCAACTGTTGACATTGTAAACAACCTTCAATCAGTATATCTGCTCTCACTGTAAATATCAAGACTCTGGTGAGTTAATATTTAAATGTTTGTGACCCAATATGTTGTCATTAATTGTAGTTTGCTTATTGTTTGCTCAATATATTATTGAACATTTTAGACTTGTCTGTGTTTTATTTTGCTGGTTCAAAGGGGACTTTTAAACCTTTTGTCACGGCAAATTTTTTTAACCGTAACAATATCGTCATCTCTGAATCAGGGAAATACACAGTATGAGAACATAACAGAGATTATTACATTAAAGTACCGTCGGAAATGCTAGAAAAATGCTTTTTAGCCTTAATATCTTTAGAAAGGTGATAAATGTATGATGTTGTCAATATATCAACTCACCTATAGTGTGAAATTTTTATTTCAATCGATTTAACATTCCTATGCATTTAAAGGGCAGTTAACAGGAGAAAATTTCGTACCAAAACAACAACTTAATATTTTTTCAGAGTTCAACAACAGAAACCTTAAATAGTCCTCACATTTATGCTAATAATACAGGTGGTGTAAAAATATAAATTAACGTTTTTCTTCAACAAATAAATGTTGAATGTTTGTGTTACTTTACTTAATTATCGTTTCTTTATTGAAGAAATATTAATATAAATGTTAAGTCTTGATAAATAAGTTTCCCGTCATGCATGCACATCTTTATCACAGCGTCCACTGTAGCCAACTATTTGCAGACGATTGTTGCAAAGGTTTATAAGTTTTTGTGCTTGAAAAAGACAGAGGTAAATCTTTCATTAGTATAGAAATGGTTTATTACAGAACTTGTAGAGCTGTTGGTATGTCTTACCAAGTTTACAATATTGTAAACAAATCAGACAAGACAGGGACCGTCTCAAAAGCAAAACCGGGACGTAAAACCATCCTTGACAAATTTGACAAGGGGGTACTTAGACGGGCGGTCTACAAACTTTAGGAGAAGAAGAATATATATATTCTAAAGGAGCTACACCAGTGACTTCGTTAAATCTTTGGCCAATGTTCACAACTAGATTAAACTGACCGAATTACATCCATATTTTTGCAATGAAATATACTGTTGACATGCAAAACATTATCAAAACGTTGCACATTTCTACAATCAATCGATAAGATAACACAAGTGATAGGATTCTTTCCAATGTACAGTAATTCGTATGTTTATCTCACAACAAACACACATACACAAATGATCCCTTACATAACCTATACGTATACTATACACATAGTGAAGATTTTGAAGAAAATATCTATTGAGATGACCCCTCGCCCGAGCGTGTGCTCATGTGTCAATTTCACCTGTCGATACCGTGCATGCTGATGACGTAACACAGGCAGTTAATGTTTGTATCAAATAACGTTATTTTTCTAAGTTTTTGGAATTTTCATCAGTTAAAACGCATTTTAGTGCATGTCTCGAAATTTATTCCTTGGGTCTACATCAGGTAGATATTTCTTGAAGTGATATTTGTTATTTAAGTAACTGTAATACTTCTGAATTTGAAATGTAAGTCAAAAAGCATTTTTCTAGCATTTCCGACAGTACTTTAGTGTCTGTCTCGTTCATAATAATTCAACCAGGAGAACCACGGAAAGAAACAATAAAACGTTAAATATATAGAGAATACTACACGAGGTCTCATTACATACGAATGTCCTTCCTTTGGTATCTGACCGAGCTATTGTTTTTATGGTTTCAAACCGAAACCGGTTTCATAAAGAGGTTGCGGAAGAGTTTTGTACTGTATTACAATATTTGCATGACGTCACACTGTAATGACGGCCCTGCCTTGGTAACCGACGTCACGATGCATGTCAGTTGTCATTGCCTACAGTCTCCGAAGCACCTTTAGAATACAACACCACAACTTCTCGTGAAGACGATCTCTGCCGTAGGTCGCGTGCCTTTAAGACAAGCAACCAGTTTGTGAGAACCCGTCGGACGCGAACCCGCGACCTTCGGATTGTTAGCTCGACAGCTAACCGACTGAGCTACGTCCGCACTGTTGCACAATGTGCAAATTTATCGAGTCATTCCTGTGACGTCACGGAAATGAACGGAAAGAGTCGAAGAGGTCACGGACAATTACGAATGCTACGGGTAGACTTGGTGTCATGTGATTATATTCTACGGACAATTGCCGAATGGATCCGATGCCATTTGGCACACTCGTCCCATTCCGTAATCTACAAATTAACGTGTGGCGTTGAATGAGCCGATATGCTCTAACTGAAAAGGGTTGTTGACGTCAGGCGTCAGACGTAGATTTCACGGTGTATACATGAATGACGCGCTTTTACATAAATCGGTGATTTGTGACAGAAAAGTGATGTAGGGAACACTGTAAGGATAATGTGGATCGCACTAAGGAACGATGGAGACATGAGCATGTGTAGTGACGGCACTCGGGTGAGTTAATTAGCCTTCGAATCATTACTTTACAAAATTTATGTTGCGTGTGAAAGAGGCTTCAGTGCAAATTCCAGGACAATTTCCATTAGCCCAACATTTCTACATTAACCCATTTCAAAACCCTAACCCTAACCCTAATCCCTTGAATTAATCCTAATAAATAGAATGCATTGACAGAACCGGCACAAACACGACTGACGTGTCTCGTGTAATGCATTATTACCGCTTCGAAAAATAAAATACGAATAAAACACTTTGCTATGTAATGGTGCAAATTACTGAATGACAAAAATATATATGTAAAATTAAAAAATTACAAAATACAAAATACACAACACATAACACCTCAGCAGCCCGTAATACAAATAAATATGAGCGTATTAGTGAAAAAAGAAAATATTTTAAACTGGTGCTTGCAAAATATTGCGCATCCGCCGGTACACAACTACTGGAAACTCTCAACATCGTTGGGCTTATGTAATGACAAAGCTCGTAGAGATGAAACACCAGTGAGCGGAGCTTATACGCACTGGCTGAGCCAGACAACCGTGTTGCCATGCAGGCGTCATAGGGCATTGTTTCGAGATCGTGCTTTCGAACAAAATCACATTACATTACGTAAAAGGGTATTATGACGTATTTTTTTAGTTTGTGGTGCTGTATTCTAAAGGTAGGCCCAGCCTCCTACAGTAAACACCCCGTTTCTTGGTTTGCAGTTGCTTCATTCGGCTAACATCACTAGTCGAACCATTGCGTTTATGTTTTTCGACGAATATGATTTCTCAGTTCGACTCACAATTAAACAGCGACACGGCAACGTTCGCAATGTTTACATTCCCACAATGCATTTACGTTATAGAATGAATGAATTCACGTGTTCATTATGAATGAAAAATTAGTTACGTCAGAATGTGACCTAACTGAGAGGTCATCGGTTATCCAATCAAATCGTTAGAATCTCAGGTCAAGTCGTTACGACACAGGTCAACGCGTTACGACACTCGTGTGACGTACGAGATTAGTATACAACTACCCTAAGCTGGTTCCCGGCTCCCTTTGCGCGCGCTAACGTTCGACAAAGCTAGTGGCAATGGTGTTACTCTCTATATTGGTTAAACCAGGGATAATCTACAACAAATATAGTCTCCCTGGTTAAACAGACGTAAAATAAATCGCCCATGTTCAGTTTCATTGTCTTATTGACACCATTTCAAGTTTTTCTATAAAAATCTCTGTCAACTCGTGATGATATATTCAGAAAGTTGACAGAAGCGCTTTATTCCTTACATTTTCGGGTACTCGATTCCGATTCAGGTAAGTACATGCGGGGTACTCGATTCCATTTTGTCCTACCCGTCCCAGCCCTACCATACACTGTTACTTAATGTTATATTTCAACCAAACGCTCAGAGACACTATATTAAACCCATTTATACATTAAAGTTGAAAGAAACATTAAACTGTAACGACCATTCTAAGGTGGCAAAGTGCTGAAAGTTCAATTGCCACAGTCACGATGCAGGCATTCAGTCAGATTGTTGTGAAAACGCTGCGTTGCGGACAGGATGCCAACAGACACATATCATGATCAACGGCTTTCAGGACGCCACTGCGCCAACGTGAACAACGTGTTTGGCAACGTTTCATCTTTCAAGATGATAATGCATGTGCTGATTGTGCCAGGATTGAGACACCATTCCTCCGACAGCAAGACATCCATGTTACACTATGCCCAGCACTCAGTCCTAACTTCCTCTACCCGTGAAAGTCCGGGTTAGAATATTGGCTTTCAGTAACCCATGCTTGTCGCAAGAGGCGACTAACAGGATCGGGTTTTCAGGCTCGCTGGCTTGGTTGTCACATGTCATCGGTTCCCAACTGCGCACATCAATGCTCATGATTTTGATAACTGGATTGTCTGGTCCAGACTAGATTATTTACAGACCGCCGCCATATAGCTGGAATATTGCTAAGTACGGCGTAAAACTTAACTCACACACTCACCTATTTTCCGCCCCATTGGTAGACGTGCACGTCAACGACTCATCCAGCTACCACTCACACTGATCTCACTACTGCACTTAATGAACCCAGTGCTGCTCTTGGTGAACTCAGTGCTGCCTCCTTAGACTGGTCTGGGACGTCAATGTCTGATATATTAAATGTAGTGCTGTCTGCTTGGACTGGTCCCTGACGTCAATGTCCGATCCAACTAGTGCCCGCACTGAACTCAGTGCTGCCTCCTTGGACTGGTCCGGGACGTCAATGTCTGATCCAGCTAGTGCCCACATTGAACTCAGAGCTGCCTCCTTGGACTGGTCCGGGACGTCAATGTCTGATCCAGCTAGTGCCCACATTGAACTCAGAACTGCCTCCTTGGACTGGTCCGGGACGTCAATGTCTGATCCAGCTAGTGCCCGCATTGAACTCAGAGCTGCCTCCTTGGACTGGTCCGGGACGTCAATGTCTGATCCAGCTAGTGCCCACATTGAACTCAGAGCTGCCTGATTGGACTGGTCCGGGACGTCAATGTCTGATCCAGCTATTGCCCGCATTGAACTCAGAGCTGCCTCCTTGGACTGGTCCCTGACGTCAATGTCTGATCCAGCTAGTGCCCGCATTGAACTCAGAGCTGCCTCCTTGGACTGGTCCGGGACGTCAATGTCTCATCCAGCTAGAGTCCACATTGAACTCAGAGCTGCCTGCTTGGACTGGTCCGGGACGTCAATGTCTGACCCAGCTTGTGCCCACATTGAACTCAGAGCTGCCTCCTTGGACTGGTCCGGGACGTCAATGTCTGATCCAGCTAGTGCCCACATTGAACTCAGAACTGCCTCCTTGGGCTGGTCCGGGACGTCAATGTCTGATCCAGCTAGTGCCCACATTGAACTCAGAGCTGCCTGATTGGACTGGTCCGGGACGTCAATGCCCGATCCAGCTAGTGCCCACATTAACTCAGTGCTGCCTCCTTGGACTGGTCCGGGACGTCAATGTCTGATCCAGCTAGTGCCCACATTGAACTTAGTGCTGCCTCCTTGGACTGGTCCGGGACGTCAATGTCTGATCCAGCTAGTGCCCACATTGAACTTAGTGCTGCCTCCTTAGACTGGTCCGGGACGTCAATGTCCGATCCAGCTAGTGCCCACATTGAACTTAGTGCTGCCTCCTTGGACTGGTCCGGGACGTCAATGTCCGATCCAGCTAGTGCCCACATTGAACTTAGTGCTGCTCTCATCGCTAAATGAGCAACAGTATGACGTGAAGCATTCCTCGAGGAATTCGTAGTTCCTTACTCTATATTAGAAACGTTAGTGGCAAAATCCAAATTTCGAATTTGCTCTCCGACCTATTTGCGGCTAGGGTGACACCAACAATTAACACCCATAAGATCAGATCGCTTACTCCCAACCAAATATATATTGACCTGCAAATGCCATATGGTAGTGAAGATACGTCTGGATGATTCCATGACACCAGCCCCTACCTTTCGGGCATAATATTATATAGGCCACAAACAGAACGTTATGAACGTGAGAGGGTACACATGTGGATTCCTCAAATCACATTACCGTCTTTTTAGTAGGAATTGTTTGTATGAATGTATTTGTTTCTGTAATGTTGTATCATCAATACTCCAGATACATCACGATAGCCTGTAATCAGTCTGGACAAGACAAACCCGTGGTTCATATAGGGACATGGCAAATATAAGAATCCTCACCCCGAGTTGAAGGTCAAGCTTGAGAAGGTCCAGGAAGAGGAAGAGTTTGTTGCACATGGCCTGCAGCGTGAAGCTGGCACCGACCGTCCTGAAGAGAAGCCACCCTGGTTGGTGGTACTTTCTGCCCAGATACAAGCCCATCACCACCACCACGGGTGCCAGGCAGCACCCAATGATTAGCCGGGCCTGAAAGAGACAAGCTCAAGATAACTGAACATGATTTAACTGAACAGGATTGAACTGAGCTCAGATGAGCTAAACTAAACCGATCTGAGCTAAACTGCACTAAACAGGACTAAAAAGAGAACTGAGCTGAGCTAAACATTGTTTAACTAAACTGGATTGAATTGAGCTCAGCTGAACTAAACTGAAGTGAATAAAAGTGAACTGAGCTGAGCTAAGCTGAACTAACCCGACCCCACCCCTTTCGATCCGACCCCACCCGACCAGAACTGAACAGAATATAAATAAACTGGAGTGAGTGATTGAGTATGATTTTACGCTGCTTTTAGCAATATTCCAGCAATATCACGGCGGGGGACACCAGAAATGGGCTTCACACATTGTACCCATGTCGGGAATCGAACCGGGTCTACGTCGTGACGAGCCAACGCTTTAACCACTAGGCTACCCCATCGCCCCTAAATAAACTGGAACTGATAATCTGACTTGAACTGTCGTGACCTATATTGGGTTTGATAATATACTGTATTTCGTTTAGTAAATGGTATACATTTAGATATTGTTATGTAGAATCGTGGTAAAACATGAAGAAGAAACAATGTCCGATAAATCATAATGATATATATATATATATATATATATATATGTTTTACCAACCAGCTTGATTTTGTCTTGCGATCCACTGGCATAGTTGACGATGAGGTAGACGACCATGATGATGGTGGTGATGACGAGGATGATCATTTCATGCCGACATTCCTTCAGTACCCCGTGCAGGAGATAATAAAAGCAGACGCCTACGGATGAAGATGGCGTGAGTGAGAGAGATGGTGTTAATGGAGCTTTGAACGATAATTCAGTCATTGCACGGCGTGTTAACTTGATCTGTAAAGAAACACCCAAATGGTGAAAGTCAATCTCGTTGGTGATTCCCATGCACAAGAATGTACATGCGGTACAAACCCTGAATTAAGCTTCGGCGGATCCACACAGATTGTGCACACCCCCACCACCCCCACCACCCTATTTGTCCAGAAAGTGTAATAAAAAACCGTTGAAACTCGAGCAGGTATGAGTGGAGATTTAACTTTTCAGTAACTTAATAAGTCTTTTTACCACCATCTGCAGATTTTAAAATACCATGCTAAGAATGTGTTAATAAGAAAAGACGCACATTCATTGAAACCGCAGACGAGGGCGAACACGAAGTCTGTATGGTGTGTGTCCACAGTGAAAAGCTTGTAGAGGGTGAAGACAATGGCTATGAGTATGGCGATGCCAAATACAATGAGGAACGCCCATTCCTTCTTTTCGATATCCTGAATAGACCGAATCTGAAATACGATTTGGATTTAAGTCAGTTGTTCATACCATGACCATGGACATCAAGAAAGGTTTTACATATTGAACTTATGGTCAGACTGACTGAATCTTTACAGACAAGGTCAAAAAAAAAACCCCCCCCACCCCCACCCCCAACCTAACCTACCACCATAAATCTCATCGCCATCCCCATCCTCACATCTAATTTTAGCATTATGAGGATGATAATGAATGATATATTGTTACAATGCTTTCGTTACAATAGTACAATGACACTTGCAAAGTGTCCGAGTTTAATTCCAAAGCCGATGACCATGACACCGGGATTTGCATTCGTAATGACGTAGGTTATCATTCTCTCACAACGGTCAGTAGGTCATCGGGTATGCACAAGAGAAACCAGTTGCTGATTATATGAACACCATTTTTATTCCGGACTAACATCGTTTTAAAGTGCTGGACTACATAGATACTGTTTTGAAATTTTAACATGGATACCTCATGGGCCTGTGTAACAGCACCGCCAAAAGTGGCCTTTTTTTCCAGTTTGCTATGCGTACATCTTGTGAATATCATAGTTGTTGAAGTGTAGACGTGTTGAAGTATTGTAGACCTGGAATTATGCCATTCCTTGGAAATAATTTTAACAAAGTCCTGGTCATCCTCTGTAATATTCCCGTTAAAAAAGAAAGGGGGCCAAAAACATCCAGACTATAGGGGTATATCGCTAATGAGTATTTTGGTAAAGGTTTTTACAACAATCCTTGATAATAAATTTCGCTTTGGTAGATATGGTTTTACCTGACAAGGCAATCCTTGATAATAGAATTTCAGCTGGAATTTTTGAAAAAATATCGTAATATGGAAACTATCGGTAAATAAACTAAGATTGTATTATTTGAGGGTGGACCGACATGTAGGCATGGAAGGTCTTTTATCCTAAGAGGATGGGGCTCTCTACGCCGAATTCTATGTTTTATGGTGAATGTGGTACCACTACACCTCTCTTCACAAATGAATTAAATGCCAGTTTGGTTAAAAATTCTCGATATGCATGACTACAATATGCCTACAATATGCTCACACTTAGACAATGCAGGGAAGGTAACCTGGGCTTCACACATTCGAAACCTTTATTTTGATAAGGTTATGTCATTGTCTGGCTGTCCCTGGCAGTTGGTAATGTTTTTATTTACAGGAATATATTTTACATGAATTCTGGGATTGCTCCATAAATGTATATTTTTCAAAACTGGCATTTGTGCGAAAGCACACGATATGAATTTTACAGATCGTTTAAAATGCTTAACGAACTTGAATCATTCCTTTTCGTACAAACATCTGGTGACATCAAACATGACTTAGATGTCAGATTTAGATTGGGTTTATCGGAAGTAAAGATCAATGAAGGTAGAAAAAGGGAATAATTAAAATAAAAGGAAGTATAGAGAATGAAATCCCCTTTGCCCTTACATGTTCTACTCTTAATAACCTCAGAACCCTATATATACCAAACAAGTACTATAGTAAACCACCAGATGTTACTTTCTTGTATGACCTCAAAAAATGATATTTACACATGCCACTATATTTAAAGCAATCTCAGGAAAAAAGACGTATTGAATAATATTGCATATCCTATGTGATGTCATACTGCATGTGATATCAACAACAAACTGTGATAGTTGCTATATATTTTGTTTATTTTGTAGTTTGGACAGGGGCCTGAAATACAATAAACTTCTTCTTCTACATGACACTATGTTAGAATATCCATGGGCTATTTCCATCTCGCTCAAGGTCTTTCAATGTCTTGCGTCATTGCTCGGAGACCTCCTTTAACGTCAATGACACAAAGCCTCCCTCACTCACTCACTCACTCACTCACTCACTCACTCACTCACCTTCCCATCAAAAAAGGTTGCTGGCTCTCGCAGAGATGGTATCCCAGCGCGGGAGAGGGATTGGCCATCGTTGTCGTTGCCCGAACCCTCTTCCACATCGTTGATGGTGCTGCCATATGTTCCGGAGGACGGCGAACCAACCATCTTGGCCTGGTCCGAGAATGGTGAACCGGATTCGTGGGACGACATTGACAACTTTTATTTCTATCTAGAGATGTTGCTGACCGAACAACGTCGTCTTCGTCGATGCAGGTTGTTAAACTTATGACCACACAAAGCCTTCCACCTTCTCGCTGTGACACTATATATCTGGCGACTGTCTGGGCAATCTGATCGGGCACACAGCACCTACTCTCGTAAGTGTCTGTCACTGATTGGCTGACAACAGATGAAGTAGCAACATGTGCATTGTCCTATGTTTAGAAATAAAATTATTTTGATCTTAATGGTTAGTAAATGTGACAAAAGCAAAGAACGTAGCAGAGATAATTGCACATTAAAATATTCCGAGTGTTTATGACTGACTGAGTATGGTTTTACGCCGCCTTTAGCAATATTCCAGCAATATCACGGCGGGGGACAGCAGAAATGGGCTTCACACATTGTACCCATGTGTAGTGTTTATGAATCATTATCAAACAGAGATAACATCGTTGTCACTAAACACAAAACACATGCGAAAGCTAGTCAATTATTTACCACAACCAATTTGGGACATAGTACAAGCCAATATTCTATCACGTATTTTTTTAGTACGATATGTCAACGTTCCCCATATGTCCTAATACAAACAGCACGCTGAAACTGCACCTAAATGAACTACTGCATGGGGAGTGCTCATAATATCATCCACTGGTTTGTTGGTCCAACTCATATGTGTACAGGCTTAGTGAAGCCATAAACAACCAGTAATAAAAACAAACCAGTTCTTTATAATAATTTTATGTTTCAAATCATTCACATTAATGTAATTAGTTTAAGGAAAATATCCTGGCAGCTAGAAGGAAATAAGGATGTTAAACATTGAAACAATTTAAAAGCACTGCGTCATAAAAAAATGCATAAACATCGATTTCATTAACAGGTAATAAGCCAAGCTGGTGAGAGACTTACACAGTACTGTGGCAGTAAAAGAGTTGACCAAGACTTCCATGACACTTCAGTGTTTCACCATTTTGTCACATATACCGTATTTCCTCTAATATTTTCAACGGACCTCCAGACCCGACGCTTATTAGAGGCCCGGCGCTTATCAAAATACCCTGTATTTTTAAAAGCGGGGATGAGTACAAAGCCTTCATTCTGTCCATCTGTCCAAAGGTCTATACCCGGCGCTTATTAGAGGCCCGGCGCTTATTTCTTAAAGCACTGCTTTATCCCCGGCGGTTATTAGAGGCCCGGCGGTTATTAGAGGTCCGGCGCTTAATAGAGGAAATACGGTATGTTCCCTTTTCAACCAAGATGCAGCTGTTATAGTACCTCAGTACCTGCTGCCTGATTTGCTGATTTATTTGACTTAGGGTGATTCCGTTTCGAGTCCACTAGGAAATGGACCAGCTGCGAGTTTCAAAACCACAATGACCATCCTACTATAGTCAAACACGAACCCGAAAGCAGCGATAACATGCCATCATTTATGAAAATAATTCTCTCAATGCGAAAAGATTGATTTCTCTTGGTATTTAGTGTTAATCTGAAACTGACATGATCAGCTATAGCACGTATAGTTGTGTACAATGCGTTGATATGTACTGTGCTTCTATAGTTGATGATTGTAAGGTGCGGTACTCAGCAATATTCCAGTGAGTGAAGGAGTGAGTGAGTGAAAGAGTGAGTGAGAGTTTTTAGCAATATTTAAGCAATGTCACGGCTGGGGACACCAGAAATGGGCTTCATACATGTGGGGAATCGACGAGCGTGACGAGCGAACGCTTTAACCACTTGGCTACCCCTATCATCTTGCAATATTCCAGCTGCAAGATGGAGGTCTGTAAATGTTCGGACCTGGACCAGACAAACCAGGGGCTGATATCATGAGCAATGATACACTTTTCTTTTCGACATAATCAGTAAACGTGTTTCTGGGTTTCCGATCCATCACTTGATTGTCTGGTCTGTTTACATGACGCCGGGGCGGTAGGGTAGCCTAGTGGTTAAAACGCCTGCTCGTCATGTTGAAGACCCGTGTTCGATCCCCACATGGGTACAATGTGTGAAGTCCATTTCTGGTGTCCCCGCCGTGATATTGCTGGAATATTGCTTTAAGCGGCGACTCACTCACTCACTCACTGCATGACACCGTCTTTAGCAGGTGATGTGTCAGGTAACAGACATATGCATTATTGTGCACATTTAATGAGTGGCGGGTACTTTTCGCCAACACATGGTGTCATCACTTACTTCAGAGATCAATTCATATAATTGTCAGAAAATCTGGTGCTCACGTTCTAGATTCTCTCTAGACACCATCACTGTTGCTGCAGCCCTTATATGCATAACGCTGTGAGTGAGTGAGTTTAGTTTTACGCCGCACCCTGCAATATTCCAGTTATATGACGGCAGTCTGTAAATGATCGAGTCTGGACCAGATAATCCAGTGATCAACAGCATGAGCATCTATCTACCCAATTGGGATACAGTGACATGTGTCATCCAAATAAGAGAGTCTGACCACCCGGTGCCGTTAGTCACCTCTTACGACAAGCATGGGTTACAGAAGATCAATTCTAGCCCGGATCTTCACGGGTGCGTAACGCTGTGCAGCCTACACAGCAAGTGCTGGGTGTTAGCGTAAAAACACTGCAGTTTGTGATGAGGCAGCGTGACACGTTGTGCGACCATGTTTCAACTATTTTTCATACAACCCGTAAATTCATTATGTTCAATGGTGTGCTATATTGACTTCATCTAGATGTAGAAAGCAAGGTCTTGAAAGCTTTCACCAGAATCAGGGGCGTAGCTACCATCATAAAAAACAAAACAACCGGGCCTTTAATACTGTCTAGATATAAAGCTTTGCAACCTATCGGCCTTACACGATTAAAATGGCTAGCTACGCGCCTGAGAATGATTTTAGTGTAGACTTTTCTAGCACCTTGTTTTTAGTGTTCATTGTGTGTAATGATCATACCCTGGATACTCTCTAAGTCTTTATTCCAAGTTGCTGAGAGGTGAATATTGTCATCATTGTCTTATAGCCATTGTTATAACCACTCTTCTGATCTTCACCAGCCCATTCTTGTCGTAAGAGGCGACTGACGGGATCGGGTGGTCAGGCTCGCTGACTTGGTTGACACATGTCATTGTATCCCAATTGCGTAGACCGATTCTCATGATGTTGATCACTGGTTTATGTGGTGCAGACTTGATTATTTACACACCGGCATATAGCTCTAACACATACTAGCCACATAAAGAAACTGTGCATTGTCAAAATATTATCCCAGTTGATAAGTACGATAATAATGTCAAAGGTACATATAAACTTTAATGGAGGGATCATGAGACCATAACAAGTCGGGAGAATTTCAATTGAAAAGTCAATCACAATGACGTCGCGAGTCCACAAGCTGGACAGGGGTCAAACGACCATGTCACAAGCTCAATAACGGGTATGTCCACCATCGGCATTGAGAACAGCAGTGCATCAACGACGCATAGAGCCTATCAAACGTGCAACGAAGGCTTGTGGGATGTCACGCCAGATTCTCTCAAGTTCTGTTGCAAGGTCAGGGACGTTATCTGGCGGATGAGGAAGACGGCGTAGACGTCGATCCATCTCGTCCCAAACATGCTTTATCGGGGAGAGATCTGGTGAATTTGCAGGCCAAGGCAGTAAGTCGACGTAGCAACACATGCCGTATGAGGGCGGGCATTGTCCTGTTGGAATGCTAACCCAGGGCCATGACGTTGCAGAAAAGGAATTGCCACAGGTCGAAGAATCTGATCCCTGTAGCCCACACCAGTTAAGTTGCCCTGAACAATCACCAAAGGAGTTCTTTGGCGTGCTGTTATTCCACCCCAAATCATCACGGAACCACCACCAAAGCGATTCCTCTCCAAGACACAGGCCTGTGCATAACGTTCTCCCACGCGTCTATAGGCACGTTGACGTCCATCACTATGGGAAATGTTAAACCTGGACTCATCTGTAAAAACAACATTTCTCCACCAAAACAAGGGTCTGCGGACATGATTTCGGCACCACATTCGGGAGCTTGTCGATGACGTTGTGTCAGGATAGGCGGGACTTCGTGGTCTAATCCCGTGATGACGTAAACGTTGTCGAACTGTGTTGGGGTGGATACGGCGAAGTCCTGGGATGGTTCGGGCAGTCATCACTGCAGTCTGAAACCTGTGGCGAAGATGGGTCACCCTTATCCATATGTCCTGTCTTGGCGTTGTTACACGTGGACGTCCAGAACGTGGCCGATCGATGACGTCATTTGTGTTCTGGTAGCGTCTCACCAGTGCAGAAATAGTGTTCCGGTGGCAGTGGAAATGTGCAGCCACTTGTCGTTGAGACATTCCCCCACGGACCATCCCAATGGCCTCATGACGTTGTGCAGACGTGAGTCTTGGCATGCTATGCGTTTTATTAGCCGTTTAATGTTTTGAACGATCGCAAGGACAGGGGTTGAGCTTTCCAAAGCGACAGTATTGTGTGACATTCATTTGCTCTGTTTTTCTTTCCCGGGATGCACGTGCAACAACGTATTGCACGTCTTAAGGACGAACCCACTGACGTCACGGAACGTGGCACGTGCATGCATGTTGGATACATGTCAATAATCTCTGAGTTTAAAACCTTATGTGTCTACAAAGGTTTGATAAATTTAGATTTTAAATTTTTGTATACACAGTTTCTTTATGTGACCAGTATATATTGCTGAGCGCGGCGTAAAAGTTAACTCACTCACTTACTATTATATTGCCTCCAAGTTTGTACTGCCACACAATTTTGTATTGTTATAGTGATACCTCTGTCATTTGTAAACGTTTATTTTTAGTACACCTGTTAATTATAACACTCTGTACACACACACACGCGCACGCACGCACGCACGCACATACTCACATACTCCACCTCTTGTTGGACCAGGAAGTCAGCTCAACAAATGATTTACCAATGAAAACGATAATTGCAATCTTTCTACTGCGACAGATACTGTCCTACATGTCTTCCTTGTCTGGGGTGCCAGTTCAACGGGTGCTTTACCAATGAAATCGCTGCTTGTAATCTTATTATTTCGTAACAACTCGACCTTGCCTTTGTCGAGATGATAAGATATTAATACATCGCAAACAATTTGTTGATGGGATTATAGAAAGGTGGGAGACACAGTGACCTAAACAATTTGACATTTTCCATGACATGAATGAAACAACGGCGTAAAGATATGTTCACTCAATGTCTCCAACGAGACTGCTTTTATGCGTCGGAGTTTCCTCCACAATACTGCAGTCAGCAATTTGTCATCCTCAAATAATCTTTCAACAATATACACGGATAGCCAATTACACAAATCGCTGTGCAGAGTAGCGTCCCCTGGGAACAACAAAAACCTAATACGTGAGTTCGAATCCCAGTTTGCCTCGATTATGCTTCTAGGCCAGTCAGTACCATACCAATGCGAGTGGGTGACAAACGTTTACCTCCAGCTTCTGATATTTTCGAGGAATTTTCGTCCTTTCAGTTATAGGCAATAAAAGTAACATATTTGTTGCGGAGACAATTGGATTGAAAGCATTCTTCAGCTTTTCACATTCCAATGGTATCCTATAGTTACTTTGCTGTACCAGCAAACCGCACAACCTCACTGTTCCTTTATTGGGTACAAGGAAAAACGTGAGACTCCAAAAAGTGCATGACAAAAATGAGAAAAAAACTGTAAACGACATGATGGAAAGTGGCCAGTCAGATAATGCAGATGTTATTCGGTAAATTTGCTAAATTTGTTTCATCTAAAAGTGTGCTATCCCAAGCGTTCAACTTATCACCAAACCATATTCTAAAAGGTATGTAAAGGGAGGTGAAGATGAAATTCCACTCCATCATTTCTTTACACATCTGTTCTGAATAATCACGGTGTTACAAAATGTTGTGGGAGTGTAAAGCCGACAAGAAGGACGAGAGAACACACAGATATCCACCGTCATGTGTTTATTCCACTAAAAGACGGACCGAGCAAAGACAGCATGTTGTTACACCGCCCTTAACCGGGTCATTCCATAAATATTGTTCCTCGTGTACATCAGTAATCTCATCTAGTTTTATAACGTTCAAATAACCAAGACCCTTTATCTGATTGGCCACCCGGGACTAGAGATATAGGAGACATATAGGGGCTGCCGTGTCTGCTTCACATGTGGAGGGGGCGGTGGGGTAGCCTAGTGGTTAAAGCGTTAAAGCGAAGACGGTAGTAGATGTAACACACTCTTATTGATCTCCCTGAGCGACTACTGGACTTACTCAAGTCTTTAATGAGTTGCTGGTCGACTCATCTTGAGGTGTACTCGCTAGGGCAGGTGCAGACTTCGGAATCTATTCCAATCAGAAGGGGGATATTCCAGGGGGACCCATTTAGTCCTTTGCTTTTTTGTTTGTCTTTAAATCTTTTGCGTTGTCTGCTTAATAGAGAGAAGGCTTACCATATCGGACCTCCTCAGCACAGATCCCAACACCACTTACTCATCTCCTTTACATGGATGACATCGAGCTCCTTGCCAAAGGAGATACCAATTTGAAAGAACAGGTCCTCCTTGTTGAGTCCTTTTTGTGTACCTTTGCACATATGTTTTATCGGATGATCCTCTGGAGACTATGTCAAGATTCATGATGAAAGCAAGGAATTCCACGTCTATTCTAATCGTGCCAAGGTTATTGGATGAATCTGAAATTTGAGGTTGCGTTTGTTGATGGCGATGTACTGCTGGGCGGTACAGCGATGGGAGTAAACCAGGTGAAGTCCTTCAGCAAGTCTTCCCAGAGTCCGTCATTGAACAGAAGCTTTCTGAGAAACCATTGCATCGTGTATATATGCAGTGTGTAAAACAAAATAGCAGTCCAATCGACTCCTTCGCCTGGATAAAGTCGGCTGGTCTTAAATGTGAAACAGAGGGGTTCCTGTTTGCTGCCCAAGACCAGTCACTTTCCAGTCGCAATCGCCAAAATGTGATTTTATAAGAAAATATTAACATGAAATGTCGATTATGCATTGAATTTACAGAGTACAGCACCTTGTCAGTGGATGTCCTTCCTTGGCACAACAGCATATCGTAAACGGCATGATGGCATGGCTCGTTGCTTTTACTACTGTCTTCGCCATGCCTGTGGCTTTGACTCTGAGGTTCTTCCATTGTACGACCCTACACATGCCCAGGGCGTTATCGAAAATGATGCTTTTAAACTTCTTTGGAATATGCCAATATACAGCCAACAAACCCATTCTTGTCCTGTTTTATAAAGCCTATGAATTTATTTATGTTATTGAATTTTCTGCCCCTTTTGACAGCAACGTGACTGGCAAGATTCAGGAAAAGCATTCTAAATATGCGGACCTCACCTTTGAAATATCTCGCTTGCATCCCAAGTACACTGTCGTCAATTCTCCCAATTGCTCTCGGTGCCCTTGGTTTTGTATATCAGGAGAGGGCCCGGGTTCTCCATCATCAGGAGCACAGCTCTTCTGACACTGTGGGTAATACAGAAGGCTGCAGTGTTGGGGAGTCTACATATTCTCCGGAAAGTTCTTGGTGGGTTCGACGCAGGCAGCGTTTTCTGGGAGAAGTCCCATTCGCTGTCTGGGCTGCGTGTAGAGGGGTAAGGGCCCTGAGCTGTTGATGAGCCTTACCAACCTGACTGTGCCACGATCACCCGAACCCTCTCTGCTGCATTTTCATCTTAATCTGTAAACATAATGATAATGAGTCCATTTATATGGGGCCAACTCTATACACTATGTATATGCTCATAGCGCTACCAATATACTATATTACTTATTTCTAACAATTCGTTGACTGTTGCATCCTCTACTTTTTAACGCCTTTTGTCGCCAACTCTTTATCCTAATAATCATCTCGCATTTCGTCCTTTAGGACATTTCTAGAGTTTCAGCCATTCGGGTCGAGAAATGTCATTTTTGTCAGCTTCCATCCAGACACTATACAGTTATATAACAGCGTGTTAAGAAATAGCAAAAGATATTCCCTGGTGACATCATCAGTCGTAGGCATTGAACATTAATTATTGTTTGTTTATTATTTAACTCAGAAATATTCCTGTAAATAATCGATCCTGGACCAGACAATCCAGTGAGCAGAATCGTAAAACTAAAATCATCATCATAATTTCGCACACACTTCCAGGGGACGTATAATTTTGTGCCCCTCCTGGTAATCCGTCTTAGGTATTTCAGGATATCGCCCACCATGATGATATATGTGACGGAAACAGCAAAATGGATTACAGCTCAGGATTCATTTTACATGTTTATTTTACTAGGTATGTTATCATTTATAGGTATTTACATATTATGCAATGTTTACAAATCCAGGTTTCATATATTGGAATAGAAACATCAACACCTAGTAACACTGAGCAAACGAATGTACGAGTATTTACACTTAATATATAGACATGTTAACACCGTTCTATGATGACAAAGCTGCAATTCCTGAACTGTTAAGACGTTAGCCTGGTGACCTTACACTGTTTGACTGAGAGACTGTGACTGACACTGTAAATGAGGGGCTGAGTGAGTGAGTGAGTGAGTATGGTTTAACGCCACTTTTAGCAATATCTAAGCAATATCACTGCGGGGGGCATAAGAAAAGCGCTTCACATATTGTACCCATGTGTAGTGTTTATGAATCATTATCAAATAGAGATAACATCGTTGTCACTAAAGACAAAAACACATGCGAAGGCTAGTCATTTATTTACCACAACCAATTTTGGACATAGTACAAGCCAATATTCTATCACGTATTTTTTTAGTACGATATGTCAACGTTCCCCATATGTCCTAATACAAACAGCACGCTGAAACTGCACCTAAATGAACTACTGCATGGGGAGTGCTCATAATATCATCCACTGGTTTGTTGGTCCAACTCATATGTGTACAGGCTTAGTGAGGCCATAAACAACCAGTAATAAAAACAAACCAGTTCTTTATAATAATTTTATGTTTCAAATCCTTCACATTAATGTAAGTAGTTTAAGGAAAATATCCTGGCAGCTAGAAGGAAATAAGGATGTTAAACATTGAAACAATTTAAAAGCACTGCGTCATAAAAAAATGCATAAACATCAATTTCATTATCGGGTAATAAGCCAAGCTGGTGAGAGACTTACACAGTACTGTGGCAGTAAAAGAGTTGACCAAGACTTCCATGACACTTCAGAGTTTCACCATTTTGTGGAATATACCGTATTTCCTCTAATATTTTCAACGGACCTCCAGACCTGACGCGTATTAGAGGCCCGGCGCTTATTAAAATACCCTGCATTTTTAAAAGCGGGGATGAGTACAAAGCCTTCATTCTGCCCATCTGTTCAAAGGCACTTATTAGAGGTCCGGCGCTTATTTCTTAAAGCACTGCTTTATCCCCGGCGGTTATTAGAGGCCCGGCATTTAATAGAGGAAATACGGTATGTTCCCTTTTCAACCAAGATGCAGCTGTTATAGTCATTCCTCAGTACCTGCTGCCTGATTTGCTGATTTATTTGACTTAGGGTGATTCCGTTTCGAGTCCACTAGGAAATGGACCAGCTGCGAGTTTCAACACCACAATGACCATCCTACTTTAGTCAAACACGAACCCGAAAGCAGTGATAACATGATATCATTCATGAAAATAATTCTCTCAATGCGAAAGATTCATTTCTCTTTGTATTTAGTGTTAAACTGAAACTGACATGATCAGCTATAGCACGTATAGTTGTGTACAATGCGTTGATATGTACTGTGCTTCTATAGTTGATGATTGTAAGGCGCGGTACTCAGCAATATTCCAGTGAGTGAGTGAGTGAGTGAGTGAGTGAAAGAGTGAGTGAGTGAGAGTTTTTAGCAATATTTAAGCAATGTCACGGCTGGGGACACCAGAAATGGGCTTCATACATGTGGGGAATCGACGAGCGTGACGAGCGAACGCTTTAACCACTTGGCTACCCCCATCACCTTGCAATATTCCAGCTGCAAGATGGAGGTCTGTAAATGTTCGGACCTGGACCAGACAAACCAGGGGCTGATATCATGAGCAACGATACACTTTTCTTTTCGACATAATCAGTAAACGTGTTTCTGGGTTTCCGATCCATCACTTGATTGTCTGGTCTGTTTACACGACGCCGGGGCGGTGGGGTAGCCTAGTGGTTAACACGCCTGCTCGTCATGTTGAAAACCCATGTTCGATCCCCACATGGGTACAATGTGTGAAGTCCATTTCTGGTGTCCCCGCCGTGATATTGCTGGAATATTGCTAAAAGCGGCGACTCACTCACTCACTCACTGCATGACACCGTCTTTAGAAAGTGATGTGTCAGGTAACAGACATATGCATTATTGTGCACATTTAATGAGTGGAGGGTACTTTTCGCCAACACATGGTGTCATCACTTACTTCAGAGATCAATTCATATAATTGTCAGAAAATCTGGTGCTCACATTCTAGATTCTCTCTGGACACCACCACTGTTGCTGCAGCCCTTATATGCATAACGCTGTGAGTGAGTGAGTGAGTTTAGTTTTACGCCACACCCTGCAATATTCCAGCTATATGACGGCGGTCTGTAAATGATCGAGTCTGGACCAGACAAGTGATCAACAGCATGAGCATCAATCTATGCTGTGCAGCCTACACAGCCATTGCTGGGTGTTAGCGTAAAAACACTGCAGTTTGTGATGAGGCAGCGTGACACGTTGTGCGACCATGTTTCAACTATTTGTCATACAACCCGTAATTTCATTATGTTCAGTGGTGTGCTATATTGACTTGTTCTAGAAAGCAAGGTCTTGAAAGCTTTCACCAGAATCAGGGGCGTAGCAACCATTATGAAAAACACACACTGGCTTACACATGATTTTTGCTATGAAAGTTGGGCAAGCCCTTAATACTATCTAGACATATAGCTTTGCAACCTATCGGCCTTACACAAATAAAATGGCTAGCTACGCGCCTGAGAATGATTTTAGTGTATGACTTTTCTAGCACCTTGTTTTTCGTGTTCATTGTGTGTAATGATCATACCCTGGATACTCTCTAAGTCTTTATTCCAAGTTTCTGAGAGGTGAATATCGTCATCATTGTCTTATAGCCATTGTTATAACATCTCTTCTTGTAGCATATAAACTCTTCTGATCTTGACCAGCCCATTCTTGTCGTAAGAGGCGACTGACGGGATCGGGTGGTCAGGCTCGTTGACTTGGTTGACACATGTCATTGTATCCCAATTGCGTAGACCGATGCTCATGATGTTGACCACTCGTTTATCTGGTCCAGACTTGATTATTTACACACCGGCATATAGATCTAACATATATTGCTGAGCGCGGCGTAAAAGTCAACTCACTCACTTACTATTATATTGCCTCCAAGTTTGTACTGCCACACAATTTTGTATTGTTATAGTGATACCTCTGTCATTTGTAAACGTTTATTTTTAGTACACCTGTTAATTATAACACTCTGTACACACACACACGGACCCACTCCACCTCTTGTTGGACCAGGAAGTCAGCTCAACAAATGTTTTACCAATGAAATAGATGCTTGCAATCTTTCTACTGCGACACATACTGCCCTACATCTCTTCCTTGTCTGGGGTGCCAGTTCAACGGGTGCTTTACCAATGAAATCGCTGCTTGTAATCTTATTATTTCGTAACAGCTCGACCTTGCCTTTGTCGCGATGATAAGATATTAATACATCGCAAACAATTTGTTGGTGGGGTTATAAAAAGGTGGGAGACACAGTAACCTAAACAATTTGACATTTTCCATGACATGAATGAAACAACGGCGTAAAATTATGTTCACTCAATGTCTCCAACGACACTGCTTTTATGCGTCGGAGTTTCCTCCACAATACTGCAGTCAGCAATTTGTCATCCTCAAAAAATCTTTCTACAATATACACGGATAGCCAGTTACACAAATCGCTGTGCAGAGTAGCGTCCCTTGGGAACAACAGAAACCTAATACGTGAGTTCGAATCCCAGTTTGCCTCGATTATGCTTCTAGGCCAGTCAGTACCATACCAATGCGAGTGGGTGACAAACGTTTACCTCCAGCTTCTGATATTTTCGAGGAACTGTTCTAATGAACAGATTTTTCGTCCTTTCAGTTATAGGCAATAAAAAGTACCATATTTGTTGCGGAGACAATTGGATTGAAAGCATTCTTCAGCTTTTCACATTCCAATGGTATCCTATAGTTACTTTGTTGTTCCAGCAAACCGCACAACCTCACTTTTCCT